CCAGCTATGGTGGAGAAGCTACCAGACGAGCTGAACGCAGCAGCCCTGGACATAGCGAAAAGGACCACTCCGTTGGTGAGGGACTACCTCGACATGACGTGGGACCTCGAGCAGGAAGAGAATTGCGTCTTCGCAGCCAAGCGAGAACGCGCAAAGAAGCGACCTCTGGAGCCGATCTACGAGATGAAGCAGGAAGGCGATGGAATTGGGTTTGGAGGTGGAAGATCTTCGTCAGACCCTCCTCGTGAAGAACCCCAAGGACTTCCCCCAGGAGAATCTCAAGAGCTTGCTCTACTACTACCGGAGGAGGACGCGGGAGAAGAAAGCGCATTTGAACGTGCTCGCGATCAGCTTCAACCACGAGGCCTACCAGGTCCTGTTCAAGCCAAGGCGGAGAACTTGAGTGAACACAAATGGGAGCTGGAAGGCAAGTTCGCCATGCCACCGCAGCAGCGTAGAGACCTCATGCGTTTGCACAGGAACCTGGGTCACCCGGATCCACATCGGTTCCTGAGAGCCTTGAAGAATGCAGGCGCCAAGGACTCCGTGCTGGAGTGGACCCGCAAGCACTTCAGATGCGAGCTGTGCGAACAGCAGCAACGGCCATCTTCCATACGGCCGGGCCATTTGGTGAAGGAGCTCAGCTTTAACCAGGTGGTCGGAGTGGACTTGGTGTTCATCCAGTTCGGAGGCGAGTTGGTGACTTGTTTGAACGTCTTGGATTGGTCGAGCGACTACCAGCAGGTGGTTACCTGTCAGAACAAGATCGCCGAGGAGGTGCTGTAGAAGTTCATGGAATGCTGGGTTCGGGTCTTCGGACGGCCGGATCTGGTGATAGCTGACCAGGGCAAGGAGTTCATAGCAGAGACTTTTGGGACCCGCCTGAACATGAACGGCTTCTGTGATGGATACAGCCCGTGGCAGAACGGGAGAACGGAGAGAGCCGGCCAGACCTTCAAGCGGAAGTTGGAGCTGGTCATCCGGGAGCTGTCCATTAGCGCCTGGGAGGAGTTCAGAATGGCCATGGTGGAGGTGGTGAACGGCAGGAACCAGTATGGTCAGAAGTGCGGCTTCTCAGCCCACCAGAGAGTTTTCGGGAAGAACATAAGAGTTCCCGGAAGCCTGATCGATGAGGACAAGCTGGATGCGAGTTTGGCGCAGTCAGCAGCGGACTCGGAGGTGAAGAGAGCGTGGGAGATAAGAGACATGGCCGCGCAGGCCTGGATGAAGCGGCAAGACCAAGATGCCGTTGGACGAGCTCTTCGAACCTCATCGAGGATGGCGAAGCAGAGCATTGAACCTGGAGATTGGGTCTACGTGTGGCGTCACGTTCCCTACTTCAAGGGATGGTCGGGACCTGGAGTGCTCATTGCCCTATCTCCGAATGGACCTCAGCATGGGTATCCTTGAGATCGAGGTTACTGAAGGTTTCGCTGGAACAGGTCAGACGAGCTACGCCGGAGGAGGACTTGGGCGTTGCCTTGATTAAGGAGCTCACCGCCGACCTAGCCAAGAAGCTCAAGGATCCGGCCCAGCTGGCCTTTCACGACATCACGGAGGAAGGCGTGCCGGAATACGAGGACATGGAGATCGAGATCAACCAAGAGAACCAACCTCAAGTACTACCAGCACCGAACCAACCTCAAGCACTACCAGCACCGATCCAACCTCAAACACTACTACCGGATCAGCAGCAACTACCTATGGAGGAGGAAAGCACCAATCCGGGTGAAGGGGAGTCTGGGGGTGGATCAGCCACTGGGGCAAGTCAACCTTCGGCAACACCAAAGGATTTCGACAACGTCAGGAACGTCTGGTGCAGCTGTTCCTCTACCAGCACTACGAGTGGACGAAGGGCCCAATGGGAGTTTGATACAACCTTTTGGGCCGGTTGCGCAAGAACGAGGAGCAGGTCGCATGGAACCCTATGCGGTCACAGTCGAGTTTGAGAGAAAGGTGAACCTGAGGAGCCACTACCTGGAATGTGATGCATCAGATGGAGATCGAGGTGCTCATTGGAAATTCGACCGGAAGTCCAAGGGCTTCTATCTCATGGAGGCCATCAAGAATGACGAAACGACCTTCGTGAAGGAGGCACCTACAACCAGGTGGACAAGTGTTTCTACATCCAGAAGGCCAAGACGAGCGCTGGACAGGTGGAGTTTGCAAGGCTTCCGGAGGAAGAGAAGAAAGTCTTTCGAGAAGCACGGAAGAAGGAGATTCAATCCTTGCTGGGCAACAAGGCCGTGAAGGTGATGTCAGTGGCAGAGTCACGAGAATTCCGGAGGCAAAGCCCAGACCACGTCATAGCCTCACGCTTCGTGGATCGCTACAAGCATCGGGAAGCTTGGAGAAGCTCAAGAAGGATGCCCTGCAGAACAACAACTTCACGCCGCCAGAGACCGAGAGAGGAGCACCCAAGAGTCGTTGGTGTGTCGTCGGCTGGCAAGACCCCATGGTCATGCAGGTGGAGAGATCAGCGCCTACCCCGTCAACGACATCGATGTATGGCGCACTTCAGCTGATGGCGTGCCGCTCCTGGGAGATCCACGGATGTCCGCACCGCTTGTCTGCAAGGACAGAAAACAACCAGGGAACAACCCCTGGCCTGCTCCCTTCCCAAAGACGAATGTCCAGAGGGATTCTCGCCGGAGCAGCTCATGCAGTTGGAGACAGAGGTCTACGGACTGGTTTCCGGGCCAAGTTGGTGGCGAGTCAGCCTAGTGTCCATCTTGCGGGAGTTCGGCTACACCATGTCCCCGTACGACAAGTGCGTGATGGTCTTGGGCAAGGACAAGGGCAAGGGCCACAGCCTGGAGAACTCCAAGAGCACGGTACAGAACCTCACGGAGGGGATCATCGTAATTGAAGTCGATGATCTGCTGGAGGGCGGCGGTAAACGCCACAGGGACCTCATGGAGAAGCTGGCCACCAGAATCAAGTTCGGGAAGGCCATCAACTTGAAGAAGACCCCGGAGGGAAGCATGTATGCCGGGAGGACCCTGAGACAACTGCCTGACTCGAGCGTCATCGTGCACCTCGAGGAGTACATTTACAAGAGGCTCGCCCCGGCAAAGATCAAACGCAAGATCTTCGTCAAGGACGCGGACATGGAAGCGTTGAATGCGGAGGAGACTAGGCAGCTGCGAGGCTTGCTGGCATCCATGAACTGGATAGCTCGGGAGGGACGCCCTGACATCGCGTCGGCAGCGTCATCCTGTCAGGATCGTTCCCTGAGCCGAAGATGGCTCACCTTTTCGAGGCGAACGCGGTCATCGCCCACCTGAAGAAGACGCCGGTCTCAATCCGCTTTCACGCAATCAAGGAGCAGGACATGAGACTGCTGCTGGTGTCAGATGCAGCCTTTGACACGAGTGGCAAGGAGAAATCACAGCATGGCTGGCTGGCAGCGGTTACGACTCCGCAACTGAATGAAGGGGAAGAGGCCCCAGTAAGCCTTTTGCAGTGGCGGAGCCGAAGACTGAGGAGGAAGGCGGCTTCCACGACGCTGTGTGAGGCAATCGCCACTTCGACAGCGCTGGCCAGCCTGGAGAAGATTCAAGCCTACATGGAGTCCATCCGGTTTGCGGACTTCTCGCCAAAGAAGTACCAACGGGTGGTGGATGACACGGAGCTGCGGGGCCAATCCACGGTGATCGCGGCGGACTCCGGAAAGTACATGGACCCGGAGTGCATTTTGGTGGTGGGCGCCAAGGCCGTCTACGACGCTTTGTGCTCTGAGACGTGCAGCGGTGATTGCGAAAGATCGCAATTGGAGTATGCAGTCATACGAGAAAGTACGACACTGCTGAATGCGCGGCCTCGTTGGGTTCCTCATAACCGGAATCCGAGCGATTTGCTCACGAAGTGGAAGGGCGCGCGTGCAGAGCCGATGATGGCATTGCTGAGCACCGCCCGCTTTAAGGTTGTCCCGGAGACGGAAGAGCTCACCAAAGGACGCCAAAGCGATTGCCGGAAGAAATCCCTGGCAACAAAGTGCTAAGATTTTTTCTGGGGCTGTAAACCCAGTTGCGAGGTGTATGACATGTACACTTTGTTGCCGTTTCGGATTAGGGCCCTTGAGCCATAGCTCGTGCAGACAAAAAGGGCTGTGCGCTCTGTTTAGGAATCTTAGGATTCATGGCATTAATCTCACACACTTGAGCGAGAAGTGTCTCAATGTCATTTGACTGACCCTTTTTTCTTGTCGTTGCTCCTTGAGCTCTGCGCGGCCTGGGTGCTGAAGAATCGGGGAACCAGGTAGTCACTAAAAACGCGTCCTGGTGTCTCTGCTTCACTCTCTGTTTATCTCAGTAGCGTCTCTGGATCGGTGTGATTCGCAGAAGGTCTTGCTCCAGGTCCCTTGCGTTTGTTCTTTGTGCTGCGCCGTAGTCACTAACTTGTTGTGTTGAAAAAACTGAGGGGCCAGTAAAGATGCACATTCGGAGTTCTCTTCCAGGAAGACGCTTGGGCGTTTTTTTGAAGTAGGGCCCCTGGAGCTGTTGTTGTCTAGCTACTCGTGATATATAAGCGCGGCCTTTGGATCTGTCTGAAGTGATGTTCATCCATTCATCAATACGTTCCTCAGACCGAACCAGCTGGCGCGTCCAGCAGAAAATGGGGCGGCAACTTGGCGGTCATTGACAAGTTGGTTGCTTTCTCAGCATGCCTGCCAAAAGCTTCAGGAACAGTGCTCCATCTCATGAGAATTCTTTGCCAGAAAAGCCTGCTCCGCTACCTCAACTGTGGACCGATGTTGGGGGTAAGGGCCCCTAAGCAGCACACTCCTTCAAGATTGAGGATCCTTGGAAATGTCCTTGGAGATTGTTTGTCCCTGCGCTCAGCAAGGTTATCTTGTCTATCTGCGCCTACAACCAGAAGCGCGCGAACATGAAAGCCCTTGAGCCAAAATTGTTGAAGGCAGAGGTGTGTGAAGCTCAACTGCTTGCCCTTCCCTGGCGTTCAGAACTCGTCGATATATTCGGGCCCACCGGCGCCAGGCAAGAAGAAGGCGAAGCGCTGCAAGGCTGCAGCGAGGGCCAAAGCCACTGCCAAGTGCCTTGGCGAGGACCTTTCAAACAAAGTGAAAAGGGGCACCCTCCAAAAAAATCGAACCCTTTCTTTGCATCAGTGAAGCGAGCGCTGGTTGGTAAATCATTTCCCAAGAGGCACGAAGCGGAATTTGGCGATCCACGGTTTTTGAACGAACGCGGCGTTATAACGCGCGCGCGCGTTCAAGGATGCCTTTGTGGGGGTAAGGAGAGACTAAACGGACAACTACTTCACGTGGGGGTCCAGTTCGTTCGTGAAAAACGCGCTCAAGCTCCTTGTGAGCGGCTAACAGTCTTCCAAACACGGGAGCGGGGCCTCATTTGTTGGACGCTAAGACTGCTTCTGCTGCGCACGGCGGCCGTTGTGTTTCCCGTTGTCTTGTTGCAAAATGGTTGTTTTTTTGGAATTTCCTCTCACCCCCGCAAACTGGGCATTAGCTTCAATACAATCCCGAAAACGGGGAACTTGTCAACGGGCTTTTTGCACAGTCGCTGTGGCGCCAACCAAGCAGCGCCGTGGCAGCGACCGCCAAAGCTCTTCGACAGATTTAGGAAGGACTGTTGACGAAGGAACCTGCTCTTTGGGTTGGGGTTGGCTTCTAATTTCGGTTCCAAGTAGGAAGTATCAAACCTAGCTACGCGCGTGCCCGTGAGGGCGTCTTGGTTGACGCCTGATCCCAAGAAAGTCCTTGAGCAGTCTGTGAACTTCTTTGCTTCTGGGCCTGCTTGCGCTTGCGCAAGCAGGCCCATGCGAAGCTTGTCCTTCACTTGCGTGGGGGCCATGGCGAAACTAGAGCGGCTTAGAGGAGGGGGGAATGGCCAACCCTAGTAAAATTATGAGCAAGCTTTGACCACCGTCCATTCAAACCGCAATCAAGACCAGGTGGATGAAGTTTTGAAGGACCAAACGATAATGGACGAAAGTGGAGCTGTCTGTGCATTTGTTTTTGCTCCTCACAAGTGTTTTACCTGGCCAAACATTGCGGCTCAAGCGCAGCTCCTGCCGTCTGAGGGTTTTGAATTATTTTTACCCCTCCTTGTTCCCCTGCCACGTGCTAGCACATATACTCGGGAGCGAACGTGGCGGAGGCTAAGGCCAAGGCCCGTGCCGCCTTATTTACACAAGCTTGTCACGAGAGAGGAGGAAGGTTGGGCGTGCTGGCTTCGGATGTGGAGCCAGCACCTTTCGCCGCCCGCTTCATATCCACTTCATGTCCAGCGCAGAGAGGCGGAGCAGGCGCCACTGACTCCTGCCAAGCGCAAGTCCGAGGATGAGAGCGCGGCAAAACCAAGTTCTCGCAGGGTGAGTGTGCAGAAGAACGCGCCCCAAAGCAAGGAAGGTGACCGACCAAAATGGGCCGCGGCGCCCAGCTCGGAACAGGCGGTCTGCAGGACCTAGCGGAAGTCGTCCACGAAGACGGGTTGTCATTCCACATGGGGCGGCACCCTTCCTGCCCCAATACACCTGGCGGGCGCCGTTCCGCACGCTGCAAATTGGCTACGTCCCAAACCAATTCCGGCAGGGGGAGGTGCTCCTTTCGTGAGTAGCCACTGTGTGTCAAGAGTTTTTTAATTACGTTCGGCGCCTTTGGGTAGACCCCAACACGCCGGCCCCTCGGTAGCTTCGGCGCCAAATGACTAGCGGGCGCTCGTTTGGCATGCTCAGGAAGAAGGCGTCCCCGGTGGAAACGCCGGTGCAAGTCAAGGCGCTGGAGGCGGGAAGTGGCAACTCCCGAAAGTTCTTTTTTTTTGCGATCCGCCAGGGTTCCAAAGATGAAATAAGAGCTTTGTTTTGAAGGATCCAGCCTTTTCGGCGCTCTTGTTCATATTGCCTGTTGAACTTTGGAAGCTTGAGTGATTCCCTGTTGAACTTTGGAAGCTTGAGTGATTCCCCCAATAGCCAAATGTTCTGCGGGCGTTGACGACAAATCACGGTCGGCCATTTCAGGTTGGGAGATAGCAAGGCCCGGAAGTTTTCGCATTTTTTTCCTTCAACTGGGGGATGCCAGCCTGCAACTACTTCTTTCACAGGGACGAAAGGCGGCCGTAACGTGCTGAATTCGGCGCGCGTCGAGGCGGAAACACCTCCACATCTTGACTCTGAGAATTTGAGCCGTCAAGACACGCAGTGTCCCATTGTCTCCTCATGAGACTCATTGACTTTTCGAGGCGTGGATGATGTGCTCGGAAGAAAGGCTGGCCGCATTGCCGGCACTGAATCTTGGGAATGGCACCACTGCGCTGACAAAGGAGCAATGCGGCTGCGTGGCAGCTCTGCCCGGCCACTGGAAACAGAGTTGCCAAAGGTCACAACCACCGGCCGAGCCGGCGGATTGACTGGTGGGTGGGCTGGGCTGTTCAAAGTGCGTGGAAGTTGGGTTCTTTGCACAAAGTCCTTGGGCCATGGCTGGTGGCTGGTCAGGCGCAGAGTGAGTCCGAGGCCCCGGGCCCCGAACACCCAGAGGACACTTTGCACTTGGCATCTCTAAATGGAAAACCAAACTTGCTGCGTTCTTGGAATCTTGAACGAGGTCGCGTGTGTCTTAATTGGCAGCATCGACGCTGCGTCAGCAAGTGCCCCTCAATGGGAGATGATACAATGATGATGCGCAACTCCGACCTTACCTCCGACATGCCTTTCCAGGAGAGCCGCTGCGACAGTGCCGACGACAAGCCAATGGCTGAGGAGAAGAGTTCCGATTCGTCCCAGGCGCAGTTCGCAGTCTGGGGCGACATCCGACAAGACAAGCCCCTTCCCATTGTAAATCATCTGTTAATGGCACACCGGTACATCAATGCCGCGCTTTGCAAGTCGTCACTTCGTGGAGTTGCCATTCAGCGAAACAAAGTTGGATTCGGTCTAAAATTGTGGCAGGCTTCAAAGTGCCGGTGTTCCGATTCAGCCCCGCTCTTCACGACTGAAATCATAGCGGGCTGGTTGTGGCCCTGAAGTTGTGCTCCAACTGAAGGAGGTTGTTGTAGTTTTGCAGCTTTTCAGGCTCGGTGTGCTTCGGGACAAGTTCCAACCTGCGGGGCCAGACATTTTCGAAACCCGTGTCAAAACAACAACTGATTAAGCAAGTGGTTCACCTTGAGAGTGTGCGGGAAATCCAACTCCCAATGCCAAGCGATTTGGATGGCCTTTATTCCGTTTGGCAGTCATTGGCATTTCACAGTTCCGTTTGCTTTGGGTCCTTTCGGGCTGCAACGAGCGTTCGGGTTTGGACAGGCAACCGACCGCTCTGAGAGCGACTCCGAGCCTCGCAGCTCCGGTGAGGAGAGTGCCAAGAGGGCCTGGACATTTCAGCTTTGGGTCTTTGTTTTCCCACAGAAAGCCAAAGCTTTGGGTTCGAACTTCGAACAAAAAGAGGGGAAGGTGATTTGCGAGATTGACTGCCGGGTGCTAGGGGGCATGCAGTTTGGGGAGCTGGCGCAGGCGCTGTTTTCTGCAAGATTGACGGCAGTGTGCTGGGGGGAGCAGTTTGGGGTGCTGAGGAGCTGTTTGAGGTGCTTGACGGTGTGGGCGCAATTCTGCAGTTTGGGGTGCTGTGGAGACGTTGCGGGGCAATGTTTTGCAGATTCAGTGTGGGGTGCTCGAGAAGCGTGTTTCTGCCGGCAGCCTGTCGCAAGTCACAGTCCAACAAAAATTCTAAGGCGTTGCGTTGTGTACCGGGCTAAATGAGCAGGGCATGTGCGAACAGGGTTCTGTGTAGCACAAGGTCCTTTCGAAACATGAAGCATGTTAGTTGAGCAGAGGATGGCTTTTCAATCATTCTCCTTTGAGACAACACAAATGGAGCAAATAAAGGCATGTCAATTCCACAGCAGGCCGCTCAATCAAATCCCGCTCCTTTTCATGGCTTCCCTTCAACCTGTGACGCACTTCAAAAACCTACGCTGCCCACCCAAATGGAGCAAACAAAAACACTTCAGGCTTTTGTTCTTTCAACTCCACACCAGGAAGCCTTTCAATTCTACACCCAGAAGTTTCCTTGAGTTTGACATGTTCTGGCCACCTCACGAATGGGGGTGAATAAGAGGCTAATAATCCCCAAGCATGGCGTTTGAAAATTTCATGTTTGCTTTGGGGTCGGCAAGGTCTACGGTTTGTGGTTGGGACAACCCGTTGAACCCACTTGGCCCTTCAGTGGTTCTCCCTAAAGGTGGGTTTCCCTGTGAAAAGAAATGGCATCAGACCATCAGTTGTTTTTACTTTTACCGTTTGGGTCACTGAAGGGGCCTCCGGTTTTCCATCGGTTCACCAGGCCTCCAGCGACGTCAGCACCGAGGTGCCGGAGTGCGGTGCTGAGGTGCACACCTTCCCCCCAAAGCTAAAACTGGGTTCGACGTGTGTTTCAGCTCTTAGTATTGTGTTCAACTCTTTGCATTCTCCATTTGCTTGTTTTGTAGCTTGGTTGCTCAACTGCTGGGTTGGAAGGTACATTATTCCCATGATAATTTGATATCTGTCTCTTTCTTTGCCAGCGTGCGGGCAAACGCTCTTGACTACAGTTTACCTTGGAATGCCTAAATTCAGGTGTCAGATTTGTTCAGTAGATTTCGTTTCACGAATATGCCACAAAGTCATGGCACCCTTCCAGATTTTGGGATGCACCCTTTCGATCTTCACACTTCGCAGATGCCATGGTCGCCATGGGCGGGCTGGGTGTGGGCAATGGCGTGGCACCCCACGTAAATTCCCCCCCCGCAATGCGTTTTGCCAGGGCAGTTTCGACCAAAGCAGGGCATTCGCCTGCAAGCAGCCTTGTTGAAAGCACAAGGCATTGTTTAGAAAGACTGTCACATGTGTTGCAGCGCATGCTGCATATGGTGAAAAGTGGTTACGCCGCTTGGCATTTATTATATGTAACACATGCAAACGGAAATGAACAAGTAAGTTGTTGGTAACGTTTAGTTGATTAATGCTACTTTGTTATGTATTTTTAAATCAACATAACGATGAGCTTGTATCGTACTACATACAATGGGCGATGCATTTTAGTTGTTCCGTTTCCGGCCTGACTCATTGCTTCAATCTGTACAATCAACATTGCTCGCGTATCTGGGCTGCTTGTTTTACTTGCCACATTTCGTTGTAAGGTCGACACAATTTAGCATGGTAGCGGCTGAAGTATCGGAACAACCAGCTAGATTAGCATCAATGCACCCTACTGGTAGTTCACAAAATACAAATAGCAGTACTAGCGCCCAACAAAGTAACTCAAGTAAACTGCCTGACGCTCCTCGCAGTGTAGGCAATCAACACGCTGTAAACACGACTATCCGTGGTTGGTACATTTTTTAATTGTTTCAAATATTACATATATTTGCTAAAGTTCCAATATTTGCTGTCAGTACTGGCCTTGCTGACGCACCGAAACTGTTGCATATTGATTCAGTACAGTCAAATATTTGTAGATACACCAGATACGCTGTTAATGGCAGAAAGATCAGTACCATTTGTGCCAAAGGGACAGTTGTGAAAATGGGTCTGTCTTTCTGTCAGGTAGCCTTTTTGCAAGCCAAGCGGAACCCATTCGGGCTGCCTGAGTCCTTGCCGTTCTCAAATGGAAGCGCTGCTCACCAGAAGTCGAGACCGGACCTTTTTATTGAAGAATTCAATCGGTCAGTTTGGGGGATTAACATCAATTGCATCCGCAGTGTGGCTGTTCAAGCGAGAAAATGTGCGAGCAGCGCACTTGGACGGTTTGTTGTTTCCTTTTGGGCCCCAAACCGGAAACCCTTGAATCTATAGGTTATCAGCCGTAGGCCCCTAGCTCAAAGCAATGGACGCTTCCCTTGTACCAGTTGACGGGTCCAATATGCCCGTGGACGCAGCCGGAGTTAGCTCCGACCATGCCGCCGGCAACGGTGCGCGAATGTTCGCGTCAAGCGCTAGTGCGCAATACAACCGTACCCTGATGAATTCCCTTCAACTGTACAACTCCGCAATATTTGCTTTTGGGAATGATGCAGCCATTTGGTCTGAAGCCGAAGCCCTGCATCAAGCAGCTGTAATGCATTTGCAAGCGGAAAACCGTGAGGAGCTCCGTGTCGCACAGAATCAGCTGCATGCACATTACGCTGAGTGTGTGCAAGCCCAGTCGCATAGAATTCGTGAATACGAACAGCGAGTGAGCGATGAGTTCAACCAAGAAGTGAACCACGCTGAAGCTAGGATAAGCTAGGAAAATGCCCAAGCGCTGCATGAAGTGGAGATGAGACGCAAAACAAGTGAGTTTAGGCAAGCCATTGAAGCCACCCTAGCAGATGCTCAGCAGCTCCTCCAGGAGCAAGCCGCAAAGCATGCCGATGACATCGCACGCGTCGAAGCGACCAACGCTAGGAATGTTGACATGATGGCCCACCAAAATACGCTTCTGCAGGAGGAGCTCGACGAGCTCAATCAGCAACTGAAGCGACACGACCTCCGCGAGGAGAGATCGAAGCCCAAAGGGGCACCAGAACTGATGACCGATGACATGAAATCGGCTCGGTCGCAGAAGTCTATTCTGGACCCGTTGTCCAGTCCATTTCAATATGCAAAAGAAGTTGAGGTCACTTGTCACAAATGATGGCTATGAAGCGGAGTATTCTCCCAGCATCGTGCCACCTGCCGAACGTGAAGCATTGAAAGCCAATGCTCGCGGTCTGCAGGGACCTGCAGAGACCAATACCAACTGACCACAAGCAGGGAGGTAAGCCCCTGGCGGTCCACCACCCGGTGATGATGGGAATGGTGATGGTGAAGACGAAGTTGACGGCCTGGGGCCCAACCTCGGCCAAGAAGCCTTCGCTAAGATGCTAATGAAGTTGGCACGAGCGACGAGAAACCCAGAACTCGCGAAAGCGAGATGTTGCGATTCAAGGAGGCCAACTCCTGAAACGTACCGTGAGTGGAAAGCGTCAGTTCGTGAAGACGTCCGTGCCGCATCCGACCGACCAGACGAGGCTTGGCCTTGGATCATGGAAGTTTGGTCCGATCGCGAGGACAAGAAAAGGCTGTTGGAAGAGCTTGGTGACCCCGGGAAATTCGTGACTCTTGACACGAAGATTCTCGCAGCGCTCACGCGCTCAGCGAAGGGTGATCTGGCTCAGCGGATTCTGACGGCAAAAGAAGAGTGTGCCAAGGAACGGAAGGCAGGTCCTGTTTATGTTTGACCAATATTTCAAGACCCGTGAAGAAGCCGGAAACCTCTACTCCTTGGAGGACCTGTTGTGTGTCTCGCGGCACGGCGAAGGGATCATTGATCTCAAGCGGTTCCTAAACGTTGGGGCTCTGTCATTGCTGGCATGAAGAAGCCGCCCGAAGAGAAAGTGTTGAAAGACATTTTGCTTCGCCAAGTGAGAAGCTGCCATCTCTTACGGTATGACATTGACACATATGATCGTTGCCGTGATGATGATCCCAACAAATCGTATGATTTCTTGATGCGTTGCACGAGGGATCTGATCGGGAGGGATAGGCTTCGTGAGAACCGAGAGCGCGTGTCCAAGGTCAATGCTAGTAAAGCCCCGACGCCTAAGGCCGGTGCTGCTGCCCCTGAAAAGAAGGATCCCAAGAAGAAAAGCGCACCAAAGCCGAAGGATGCCGAGGAGAAGTGCTGCTTTGACTTCCAGAAGGGCTCGTCACGAGGGGGGCAAATTGCCCTTACGCGCGCCGCAAGGAGCCGCGAGGACGCTCTGCGACCCGTGGCAGGACCAAGTTCCCCCGAAGGCAATAAAGGTGACAAAGCACCGTGTTCTTTCTTTGCGCAAGGGAAGCGCACCAGAGGTGACAAATGCAAGTTTAGCCATGCCTCCACAGGCGGCAAGTCAGCCGCTGCGGCGTCGAGCAACGAGGCCAATGCTAACCCCGCGGCTAAGAAGCGTGCAAATTCACCGAAGCCTAAGCCAAAGCCGCTGCAGTCTGCACAAGGTACGCCATGTTCGCAAAGCCGATCGATCCGGTAGGAGTGTCTTTTGACACCAAAGCTCATATTCATGAGATTCCCGCCGAAGGCGAGGGGGTTTCAAGCTTGAATGTGAGTACAAAAGGGTTGTTTTCCAGCGCAAAGGACTGCCCCAGGCCGCCCAAAGGTACTAACAAGGCAGCACGCAAGGCCGCAAACCAGTTGAACGCCGTAATCAAGGCCATTGAAAATGGAGCCCAGCCCGCTTGTGGTTTCATGTGCGATGTGGAATCCGATTCCATCTCGAGCCTCTCTTGCGATGAGTGCTTGGGAATTGCCATGCCGCCTCACGATGTCCGCAAGGATGTCGAAGCGCCAAGGTGCCCCAAAGGGAAAGGACGTGTGGCTCATTGATTCCGGCAGTGAGCAGGACCTCATCAGCAAAGCTGCTCTGAGGAGCGCATCCAAAGCGGTCCGAAAGCAGGCATCCCAGCCTATCCGCCTTGTGACTGCAAACGGAAACATCACTGCTTCCGAAATCGCCGACATCAATGTCGATGCATTGCGTGAGCCTGCGCAGCCTTACATCCTTGAGAGCTCTCCCGCAGTGCTATCGTTGGGTGTGAAGTGCTTGGGCCAAGGATACTCCTTTCATTGGGAGTCCGCAAAGGCACCAACTATGGTTCGTCCTGATGGTGCTCAAGGTTGATGGTCATGTGCCACACATGGATTCTAGCTGTGAAGCGGAGCCACCGTTGAGTGCAGCGGCTGCCTCCAAGCCAGCGCCTGAACCGGTTCATGACGAAGGCGTCGACGAAGGTGATGACCCCGACGAAGAAGTTGAGCGGTTTGTGAGATCCCGTAAAGAGCAAGACTGGTTGCCGAAGCAAGTACCAAAGAACACTTGTTCGAAGAACCCCTTTTGCCGCACATGCCAACGTGCCAAGATGCTTGCCCCATATGCAAGATCCAAAGGTGGGCAGGGAAGGCTCGAAACCAAGGCATTTGGAGATCACATCATTGCTGATCACGTGATTCTTAAAGCCAACATTGAGCCCGGCATCAAAGGTGAGTGGTGTGCCCTTGTGATCAAGGACGTGCGCACGCAGTTCAGGTACGTGTATCCATCGACCAGCAAGAGCACGGAGCAATCCGTTGCAGGGATCCAGCACTTCATTTCCGGCAGGGACGAGGTTGAGGTTCTCTATACTGATAACTCCCGGGAATTGAAAGCCGCAATAGAACAATTGGGGTACCGTCACCAGACCTCCTTTGAATATGTTGATTCCTCCAAATCATTCGTCGAAAGGGAGATCAGACATTTGTTGGAGGGAGCACGTGCGAATCTTGTTCAGTCAGGATTCCCACTGTCGATGTGGCCTTTTGCCATTCAGCACAATGCAGTTGCAACCAACATCCTGCCAGAATTGAACGGAAATGATTCGCCATGGTACCTCAGTTTCACAAGACCTTTGATGAGGCTGAGATACCGTTCGGAGCAAAGGTACTGTTCTGGAACAACCCAGCACGAGCTGACAATCAGGCAGGCAACGAAGGCGTGTTTCTAGTGTACCACATTCAGCCTGGGTTCGCATGGAAAGGTGTTCCTTGTTGCAAAGCTAGAAGGGCTCGATTATCATATCGAACATGCGTCCCTCACGGTACAGCGGACAAAGCGCGTTGAGCTTCCATCGGGTGAGTTCATCTTCCCGATGAGGTTGTTGAAAGACCCTGCTTCTCATCCACCTGTTGCCGATGCCAAAGCACGTAGTGACCCTGTGCCGCTGGAGCGTGGGCAAGCCCAGATCGAGGAACCCGCCGCATCGGAGCAATCCGAAGCGAAGATCAAGCCAGTCATTGACCCAAGCAGAATGCCCGAGGGGTCGCCTGTGCCTGATGGCTACGTGTGGGATGGGGTCCAAGAGGACCGAAAGGCCCTTACCCGAGCAGCTCCGTGCAGACGCCAAGAAGGCTGTGCTCGAGACCACTGTGTCGACCAAGGTCAGGTCCAAGCATCCTGACGCTGCATCAAGTGCAAAGCCAACCACCGCCGCCCCCGAGGGCGAGCCAACGATGCCTGTGATTCGGCCTGCCCCTGCAATGTCGGTTCTTCCGGAGCGTGACAAGCCAACGAAAGAGCAGCATCGTCCGCAACTGAATCAAGAAGATTGAGTTTGACGTTGCTCTTGAGTTGTTCAGCGCAGTCGTAGCCAGACTTGTGCCAAAGGCCGAAGTAGCCAACACACCTAAGGCCCAAGCTGCTCTTGACAAGGAATGGGAAAAGCTTCGAAAAGAAATGCGCTTGGGATGAGGGCAGAGTGGATGAATGTAGACGAGTCATCAGAGAAGCCCAGAACAAAGGGGAAAAGGTCCATACTGGTAGGATTTTCGAAGCGTGTTACGAAAAGGGTAGCGAGCTTCCTGATGATGATCTTAACAAGAAATTCAAAGGAAGGACCGTTTTCCATGTATGACGAAAATTCCGTTTCAGCATTATTTGCGGAGCTAGGGTCCAGCCCAGCGTCAATGGAGGCAGCAAAGATCGTCGACGCTTTTGGGTCGCAGCCCGGCTACCGCAAGGCGCAAGCCAATGCGAAGCAAGCCTACATTCAAGCCTTGTTCAAAGGTGTTCCCACTTGGCTCAGACCAGATGGCCTAGCCATTGGAGCAAGCAAGGCATTGACCCCATCGTTCGACTCGTTTTAGCCTTGTACGGACATCCCGATTCAGGGGGGCTTTGGGAAAAGCACCTTGAAGATGCCCTAGGAAAGCAAGGCTTCGTGAGAGTGCTGCCTGAGATATGGACATCAATTTTCCATCATCCGGAACTTGATCTTTTGCTTGTTGTATACGTTGATGGTTTCAAACTTGCAGGACCTGCCGGTAGCCTTGACAAGGGATGGGATTTGATTGGGAAGGTCGTCGAGATCGACGCGCCTCAGCCATTCGGCCGATACTTTGGGTGTCATCATATTGAAAAGAACAATGTAAGGTTGTCATTTTCAAACACCCTTTCAGCCACGTGTTTGAGGTGTCACGCAACACGCAGGTGTTTGCTCGCAAAGGAGGACTGAAGACTACTGGGAGCATGACACAGATAACAAAACGTGGACCCGTTATCACGCGCAGCCTGGATCCTCAGCGTGTGACAATCAAGAATGAATCCAAAACAAGCCCAATTTGCGATGAGTGGTCGCATCACGCAAGTGATCGCATCACTGCGGACACCGCGTGGTGGACCGGACGTACTGTTTTCCTATGGTGAAAACCATAGCTCAGCCCTGCAGTGTGCTCTGCCCTCAAAGCCTGGATCGATGAGAGACGAAACCGCGGCTAAGAAAGAAGTCAAAGCTTCCAAGTTCAAAGGACCTGAAAGCATATGCGATAAACATGTCGGTTGTATGACAAAAGAGGTCAGCATTGTTGAGTACGACATGTCTGATTTCCTCAAATTGCGTAGACGCATATTGTGAACTTGCCAAGGTAAACGTCTCACACGGGTATGCTCAAAAGGCCGGCAAAGCCTCGCTTGATGTGCCCGATGGCATTGTTGCTCGCATTGACCCCGAGTTAGATGAAATTCGACACGGTAATGTTGATGCGGGCACAAGTGTAGCAAATATCAATGCCTTAACTGTGCACCTTAGCAACAAATGGAAGGTCAAGTTGAATGAGGACAATCAAGCCACGATCGCCATTTTGCAGCAAGGACACTCCCAGAAGCTAAGGCATACTGCTCGAACCCAACGCATTAGCTTCAGATGGCTTCAAGAGCAATTCGTGAATCGGCAATTTGAGTTAATCAATGTTGACACTACCCTTCAAGCTGCACACATCTTGACCAAGGCGTTTGATAGCACCCCGGTGTGGCATCACGCACTTGAGCTGATCGGTGTCTCCCCCAAACGCCAGGCGCGAGCCCGCGTTACCAGCTTGCTGTACTCCCCGAGCACCACGGAGAACTCAGCGATCAGGGGGGGCAGATCGCCGCGTTATGCAACGCTCAGCCCAAGCGCCTCCTTTTTGAATTCTGTTGTTCGACGACCTCACGGTTGGGCGAATCAAGAGACCCTTCAAAAGGTTGCAGTGTCATCCGGGTCACGGAAAATGAAGATGGGTGCTCCGAAAAGTGTAGGCAGCGGTTGAGCCGTGAAATTGCCGAGTTCAGAGGCAAGAGCCCCAAAGGCTCCATCATAAACTCCCGGAGGTGCCGCCAAGATTGAGGGCCACACATGAAGCAGTTCCGATCTTTGTTGAGGTCCCAAACGCGTTCTAAACGATGTTTATTCAGATGACGTCAGAATCGCTTTTGAACTTCCTTGTCGTTCTTGGAAATGGCCAAAACTATGGAGTTTCTTGACCAAATATGCATCCAGCCTCCTCCTGCCCAGCCTGCTCTGTATCTGCATCATGCCCTGAACCTAAATCTGACTCATGAAGTTCATGCCATGAATTCTCACTCGCTGCTGACATGGCTGCAATGCTGGCCAAGCTAATGCTGACTGAATCCTTGCTGAAATGCCTGCAAACCCATGCCTCCCCTTGTGAATGTCATGCTGAATCCATGCAAGCCCTCATGAATGTCCTTCTCAATCCGTCTTGGAATACATGCCTGCCCACGCAAACCCTCCTGAATGTCCTTCTCAATCCCTCTTGGAATGCATCCAGCCCACGCAAACCCTCATGAAATTCCTTCTCAATCCCTCTTGGAATACATGCCTGCCCGTGCAAACCCTCATGAATTTCCTTCTCCTAGAATGCGTGCCAGCCCGACTGAGACATCTGGCGCACGGGGTGCGAGCAATCGGATGCAGCGTCAGCAACAGTGGTTGACGACGAGTCGCAGGGCATGAAAAGGGAGCAGGCGATTGTCGACGACCGCACCACGGCTCTGGAACGCATTGCAACAACCAGGACGAATGCCGCCTCACCTCGCGCCCCGCAAGGGGAAGCGAAGAGGCAGAAGACGTTCAACCCCATGGAGAATGTGGAATTGCAGGTCGCCAAATGTCCTGTTTGCAGCAATGACATCTTCGAGGGGCAGATCAATTGCACTACGTGCGGACAACTTTCTCCCCTCAATCCACGCCTTTTGAAGGACCAGCAGCGCAACTACATCAAACAGCGCTCCAACCTCCTGAAGAAGATGGGCTTGAGCATGCGCATCACGGCTCAGGTACTGGCATCAGTGGGAACGTCCGACCTCCACGAGGAGGATCGTATCAGCATTGTGAGAGGCCTGAACTCCGCACACAGCGCGGTCATCCAGGAAGGCAGAAAGAAGCTGAAGTCTGCCCTCAAGAACGGCTACCATTCTTTGATGGACAGGTACGAGCTAGACATGCAGTACCGCGTCCGCATGATTGAGGTTGGGCGCCGCGAAGCAGACATGCTCCGTATGGAGCTGTCCGCTAACTTGGTTCTTGCTGCGCCGAAACAGTCCCAAGCCCAACGTACACTTGGTGTCGGTCTAGGTTCAACCTCAGATTCGCGAATCGCAAGGCTCGCGTACATCAAGACGGAGCTTGAGTTCATGGTCCTGCAGCTGAGAGACGCACCTTCGTTCAAGTCGTTTTCTCGAGCAAGACAAGCCCCGGACGGAGCATCGGTTGCTGGAATGGGGTAATGAACTTGAACGGCGCGAACGAGGATGAGCTCCGCCATGAACTGGATTGGATCTTCCGCCAGAACGAGCGTGCTGCATGGAACTCGGTGGAGTTTTCGCGCAATGAGAGCGACAAGCAGCACTTGGGTGGCAGCAGCGGCAGTGGGCGACAGTCAGCCTGGCGGTGGCGTTAAAGACGCATCCGTCACGGATTTGCATGTATAGTATGTAACCCCGACCGTTCTTCCCTCTGTTGTGTTTCTGTTTGGCTGCTTTTTGAAAGGCCCCTTTAACACGCAGAGGGGGTGAAGAATTCCATCGGTCAGTTTGGGGGCTTAACATCAATTGCATCCGCAGTGTGGCTGTTCAAGCGAGAAAATGTGCGAGCAGCGCACTTGGACGGTTTGTTGTTTCCTTTTGGGCCCCAAACCGGTAACCCTTGAATCTATATTTATGCCGTGAGCGAAAACCCAAGGGTTCTTACGGGATTGCTGGAAATGGTCAAAACATGCCCATTGCTGAGGCCTGAGAAAGAGGCACCTACCAACTCTCCCTTGAGCAGATGGGTCCGGGAGGACTTCACAATGTCCGGGCGAAAGCCGGGCTTTCATGACTGTCAAATCAAACTCCTCAGGGAGTCCCGGTGACTGGAAAAGAGCACGGGTTGATGAAGGCTGAACACAGGGCGCGCGCCCCGTATTCTCGTGGATACCTGCTTTAGCAATAGTTTTCCATATGTTGGGTAATCTTAAATGTCAGGGGCATACGGAGGGAAGGCTTCTGCTGTCTGAGTTTTGGCTGCCTTCTGCTGCTTTTGTGGCAATCTGCCTGTAAGGCAAAACAAGCTTCTATTGCTTCTAACCAACAGCGCTGGTAAAATTGTTTGCGCGTGCTCAAAGGGGTTTGTGCAGCTTGAACTATACCCACAGAGTTTGGCACCCCCTTCAAGGTTTACAGCAAAAGCTCATGCGCGTGGGATGGCTGCTCTTCAAGTAATCATGCTATTGGCCGAATGGCAAGTAAGTATCCTTCAGCAATACCCCGCAAAAGCGAGGGCACGCAAAAAAGGCTGCCGCTGTGTTCTTGGCTGGGTAGTACTTCTCTTGAGGCTATGCCCATTTTAGGGTCGTTTCAAAGAGGCGCCGAAGGAAAAGCAAACCATTGCTGTGGTCCGGCTCGTTTTCGAGACAGGCCTGGCTCGGTTTGGAGAACGCATGGGGTTGCGTACATCGACCAACTTTCTACCACGTCTTTGGATCCCCGCTCGAGTGGACCCTCAGCGCCAGGAGCCCCAACAGACGCGGGTCGGGCGAGCCCAGAGAGGGCCCGTTCCAAATCACGAGGGCAGGATACTTCGCGCTCAGAAGGCACCGGTGTTTTTTTAAATAGCCTGACTGGGGACTCGACGGGGCATGTCTTTGCTCAGCACCTGCTCTAAATGAATGAGGTGCCTTTTGCCTAGTTTTTTTGACTAGAGCTGGTGCCCTGTCGGTCGGTTGGTTGGATTACAAACCTCACTTGGACCTGGAGCTGCCTGTGGGCTCTGAGTGGGAGTTGCTGGGGGCTGGGTTAGTCTGGGGTTAGGCGGGCTTAGATCTTCATGAGGGCGGTCTTGGAGGTTCGGGGAAAGGCTGACATTGTTTGGTTGCTGTTGGTTAAGCGGTGCCTTTACGGTTTAGGGATGTGGTTACTTGAGCTGCGGGTTTTGCTTGTCATGAAGACAGGGGTGCTTCACATTGACTTGGAAGAATTAATCCACGTGGAGACGTAAGGTGGAAGCTGTATTGCCAAGGAGGACAGCCCCGTTTGGAGCTTGGGGCTTAGATGGGTAGCTCCAGCATGCGCCACACAACAAAGTGCTTCCGTGACTTGGGGCAGGCTACTTAGCCCTTTCAAGACGCTATTGATATTGCTACGTGAGTGGACAGTCCCATTAATAAACTGGGTCTCTTAACGCCTGGAAGGACAAGCAACGCCCCTCTGACTTTGAATTTGGGGTACACGGGAGTCTGTCTTAACGCGTGGAAGGAGAACAAACAACGCCTCTCTAAATTGCCCTGAATTTGGGGTACGGAAAAAATGTTTTTCCCTCGGTGACATGGGGCTCTTAACGAGAATGCAAACAACGCCGCTCTGACTTCGGCCGCAGGGCTGAACACGTGACAGGAGAAGAACACTAGGGTCTACTCTTTAAACCACCGCCCGAAAGGGTATAAAAGCAAGGCCCCATTTTTTGGTAAGTGCAACAAGGCCTTCTTGGCACTTTCCTGTTTTTCGTGTCCCGGATGCTGAGGATGCTGGAAATGCAAGGGATGCAACCACACAACTTACAGGAACAGACCCAATGTTCGCGCTCAAGAATTTAAGACTTTCAGACACGCAACATTGACCAAACGCAGAAAATACCAAAGATGTGGGGAATGCTGGGAATGCAGCCGGCTAGCCACAAAAAAGTGCAAAAACCAGGGTTTTCGATATTTCCCAAAAGCAACCATCAAAAACCGACCCTCAAATACTCTAAAAATTGACTTCCAAAAGCACGATACTGCACGGGATGTTTCGCAGTAACTGCTCCGCACAGGTGGGGAAGTGCAAAAACACTCATGTTTGCCAAATTTCAGCAGTTCTTCTAAGTATCACTGCACTTGGCCCCACCCAAACCCCTAATAGGCCAATTTCAAGATCGTTTGAAACAGCAAAACACCACTAGTATCTGCGAACGGATAATCCTGATGATGCTGGGGATGCAGATCCCGCGCTTCCGGGGAAACCCCCCCCCTTAGAGACCTAGGCGGAACGCAGATTTTTAGGAAAGACCCAAAATACAGGGTTTTGAACACCTAGCGCAGCATGCCCATAGCAGTCTCCAAAAGCATTCGGCTTTAATAAGAGATTCTGAAGGAAGACCAAGTTGCGGACTGCCATCTACACGCTCGACTGGCGTCGGCGGATTTATCAAGCCAGACACTGGAGCATTGTTATGGAAATGCCCGAACAAAGCTTGATGGACGGGGATTAAGCGCTTGCAATCACACAAGTTACTGTATTTGGTGATTTGCCACAGGCCCTCATGGCGCGTCTTATGTTTCCGCCAGACGGAGACTCCTCACCGGATGCTCGCTCGACAGGCGCACGGGTGATTTTTGACCTGCCCTCACAGCCCAGAACAGTGTTTGGTTTCCCTTCTCTCTCAGGTTTTCCAGCGGAACAGTTGAAGAATTGGCCCGCTACTTGTGCAACTTGTAAGACTCTCGCAGGGTGAAAGTGTTCTTGTGAATGGTATCAGTAAGGCCATTTGGCTAGGCCAGGATATTCTCCACGGACTTCTTTCAATAAACAGCAAGCATCAATCTTGGCTTGAAGCGTTTTGCAGTGTGTTTTACCCAGAAGAAAATTGCCGTGAGTAGGGATCAACGCACGATGCGTGTCAATGCTGACACCCCGGCTGTCGAAACGCTTTTCTACTACTGGTTGTCAGCTGCAAGGCTCCCAACTGGTTGCATGAATTTCTGTCACGAATGCTTGCTATTGACAGCGACGGCCATAGACATCGTGGGCGGCAAACCTTTAGGCAGAGGTCGGGAGGCGACAGCTGCCACCTGGGCCCCAGAGAGGTCGCCTTCCTGGAACTGAGCAAGCTGCAAGTTCATCGGACACTTCTGCGCCGGCGCTCAATGCGCCTTGTGGGTGCAAGGTTCAAGGCCATCCTGAGAAAGGACAAGAGCAAGTGTTGCTTGATCCCTGGAACACCATTGCGCGAGCCGTTCGTGCGCGAACGGGCCAGCTGGGTGAAAGCCAGAGACAAGTCACCTCGTGGTGCATTCCGGTTGGGGGAACCTGGCAGGAGCAAGCGGGCAGGTTGAGCCTGGAAATGTTAGGGCGCCAAAATCAACAGGGCCTTCTTCCTAAGACTAGGGTTGAAAAGGCAGGTTCCGGAGCTGACTTTCATTTGCGTGTCTTCGCTCAAGCTGGACAAGGCAGAAGTTTCTAGGTTGAAGGATTGCTTTCATCGTTCGAGAGAGGCGATCCATGTCTGCCAAATATACAACTTCGAAACAAAGAAGGCGTCGAAGGGGCATTGGCTCACATGACTTGATTGCTGAAAGAAAAAAAGTCCGACGGGGACGCAAGGGCCAGGTCCCGTGATGACAGAAAGGGAATAATCCCAAGCTACACAATAGCAACAAACACTGCGCCAACCTCTTCGAGCTCCAACATCTCCACGGGCGTAGAACCTCATAACTTGAGCGCGCAGTTTGCAACAGCCCATCATGAGGTCACTCCGAGCCAGCAGCAAAATGTGAAGGTTTGGCAGGCAAATCATTGTGGAAGCCAATGGTGAGGAATTTGTGTCAAAGAAAGTGGAACCTGTGTTGGCGAGATCTGCTTGGAAGGATAAATGATTTTGCCAAGCAAGTAAGCGCTCAGAAGACCAGTAGCCATGATGCACGGTCAAGCAAGGGTGATCGCAGGTCGAGTCTAAATGTGGGGGCAGTGGGGGTTCCTCAAGTAGCAGCTCTGCTGACGAATCATCTTCTTCAATGACCCTCGCACGATCTACAGTTTTGGCTCAAGGCCCTTCTTTACCCTTTGCGTTGCGGTCGTGATCAGCGACTGCGCGCTGAGCACGCAGCGTGCAAACGCCGAGCGCAGTGCACCGATTTCGCGCCGAGCGCGCGCCGAGCGCGTGCCGCAGCGAGTCCGTGCCGCGCGCGACGAGCACGCGCCGCGCGCTCCCAGCAAGCGCCGAGCGCTACGACTGTACCCCGCGTGCGCCGAGCACGTGCCGAGCGCGCCCAGCGCGCGCCGCGCGTGCACTGAGTACGCGACCAACGCGCGCGCCAGACACTACAACGGCACACCGTATCTCCCCCACGCGCAACGGCAACACCGCGAAAACTCAACTCCCCCACAAGCAGTCTCCCACTCAACTTATCACAAACATTCTACACGGTTTGTTGTGCGTGTGGGAGTTTTAATATGAATGCTTCTGCACGTAGCGTCCCATGATACGATGCTATCATTGTTACTGTCGCTTTCTGCACTATCTACAATGGTTTTGTGCTATTGTTTTTCTTTTGATTCTCTTTGTGTCATAACCATCTGTTTTATGACATTTAGCACCACAGGAGCGGCCCTCGCCTTTCAAACGCGCTGGGTTCAGCTCGTTTGTTTTTTACCCGCTGGCGGCGCGGCCAAAGCGCAATAGATTGCACGCTCCGAGCGCCCCCGGTGACCAATTGCAACCTGGTTTAGGCAATACCAAGCCATCCACACACGCAGCCGCTGCCCCAAAGCGAAGCCCAAACTCGCCCCAGAGCAGAATCAGACTTACGGCAAGTAGAGCAACCGCGCGACATTTTTGGCCCTTTGTCGTTGTCACTGTCATTCTTCCTCTAGGCAGCGCCTACATTGAGTCACAAGCCCGTGTGCAGGAAAATGTGGAGCGGTTGTGGCAGCTTTCTGGAACACGTTGCTGCTTTGCGGAACAAGTGTCAGCATATGTGTGCAAAACATGTGAGCAACTTTCTGGATAGAATTCCAGTGGAATTCCTTGCCCGTTGAATTCAATGCGCGTTCTACTCTTCACAGCATGTGGAAAGAAATCGCCTTTGACGCCGAAAATTCTAACAAAACTTATGTCCTCATTGGTTTATTCATTCCTGATTCAACTCCAACTAGAATAAGGATGATGGGGGAGCGCGCGGTCGGGCTACACTGCAGCATCTGACCCTCAGTTTTAAACCCAACGCAGAGGGGCTCAGGGCCTCTTTGCATTCGGTTCGACCCAGTTTTGGTTGGGGGCAGCATTGTTCTTGGACAAGAAGCCATGCGCCAGCAATTGGTTGAATGGCTGTGGTGCCCTCCCTAGGGAGCTTTGTCAGAGCCCCACAAGCAGCTTTTCCCTACCGGTCGGCCAACGCATCCAGCACAAGCAAGACGACAAGTATGGCTGACACATCAATGTTCACCAGAATGTTGCCATTGTGACGAACTTCAGGAGATCACCCTTGACAAGAACCTGAAATAGGACACTCCTTTGACACCGCAGATGCGCGCCGCATACAGAAGCGTTTTAGGTCAGACCAGCCAATTGCAATCGCAAACTCAGTTCCACATTGGATACCAGTTTCCGCGTGGCAACCAGAGCAGCACCCCCAACCATTGCGGACGTTCGCGCCAGAAATACGACCGCCAAGATCACCGCAACGACGATGTCCACGACTGTTGCTGAGTTGCGCGGACTCCTACCTTGTTACGGTTCCTCACTTTTCTTCGTGGTCTCTTGTCTGACATTACAGGTGAAATCGCGGACGGACACATTCGAACTGGCGCAGACAACCTGGTAACAACCGCCTGGGCGACCCATGAACCAGAACAGAAGGAAACAATGCGCTTGATGCAGGGAAGAAAAGCAATAGCGGAGGACATGTACGAGTGAAGATTGCCTCGCAGATTCCTTGACAAAGCATTCAGGCCGAGCAGACGGATGATCAGGGCAGTGCTGACCGGCAACCTCTTGAATGTTGATGCGCGTAGGCGTTTCTTGTTGAACGGCTTGCGCGCAGTACAGCGCACGGATCCGACATCATTGCTCTCCCAGGTGTTGGAATTTCGGAACGCGTTTGCTTATACGGGGCACCGGGGCATGAGTGTGTCACGCAGCCCGAATAATTTCATGAAACTATTTTCCGCAATTTTTGTTTTCCATCATCATCAGTGCAGACCATTGTGCTTGACCATGTGTGAAGCTCAAGAAATTTGTGTTTGCGTCCGCAGCCAGTTGAATCTTCAAGCATCAAAGTCATGTCCGATATACCGGAGCCTCAGGTCCTCGCCTGAACCAGAGGGTGACCAAGACTGGCCTGTGTGGGGGGGACAATCTGATTTTCTGACCCCAGTTTCAGGAACGCGAAGACAAGGAGCCGCGCCGCACGTTGCAACGACGTCTACCAAGTCGATCTGAATTTCGTTTACGACGCTGGAGACGGGCTGTAATTCCTGAAGGCAAGATTCAATCAGTTCTGGTCACCAGTGCTTCAAGGCATCAAATTCGATTGCAACTCCCAACCCGCATCTTGGATGACCGTCGGATCTACGGCATGCCTGCAAAACCGATGACAACCAAGAAGGATTTGGAGTGGACATCCTTCCGATGCTGCCACATGATCGACATAAGAAGACCATCACCAATGTCGCATCCATGTGCAGGAGTCTTGGCATCGATGAAGAACATGCGCGCCCGAACCGATTTGACCTTCTGGAAAATGGAAAGGTCGAGCAGATTGTTCTCAGCTGCCCTTTGCCGGTCAGATGGAAAGCAATAAGCCCCAAGTGTGAACAGTTGTTCCTGCAAGTGGTTGGATAAGCTCATTGCCACTTGGACCATTCAATCCGGCCCTTCGGCGCGATGGAGCAAGGCTGATGATGATCCGCGACCAGCGATGACGAGCTGCACCAGATCCTGGAATGGACTGAAGCCAGGAGGCGCCAGCGCGTTTAGATGGCATGCGTTGATGATGTCATAAACCACCATTTTGCACCTGCTCTTCACATCGCAATGGTCATCATGGCTGACAGCAGCTTCAACAAGAAGATTGCCTGAGAAAGGGCGTCGAGACAACTCCGACCAAGAACATCATTGCCGCCTTCACATCCGACAAGCAATGCTGTCGTAATTCAACCAGCGTGCTGAAGACTTTGAGCTCCACGGCAAGTGGATACATGTATGACGCTTGGCGACGATATGGAATGAGTTCCTCTTGCTTGCGGAGGGCTGCTGGTTCAGCCAAGCGTACGCAAGCCTTTTCCAAGCTTGTGGCTGCAGAAGTCGTCTTTTTGTTCGTGTAGGGTGGGGTTCCATTCCAACTCTGCCCCGTTTTTGCAGAGGTTCTTGGCGTCGCAGAGCGTGCTGAGCCAGGTTTGTGAGCCGGATCCATGTCAGAGTTATTGCCAATTCTTCCTGGCACTTCAAAAATAGCACACATAATGCGAGGGGCGGGGTGGCCGCAAAGGGGTCTCCTCACCGTGCAAGGATTGGGTAAGTGCGCAGCGACTGTCCACACTTTGAAGTTGTGCTTTTGCAAGCAGGTTTTTCTTGTAGCCCTTTTGCAAGCAAGCGCCAGAGGCAGTTTTGTGCATCGCATTCCCAGCATGGGTGGTGCGAAGTCCAGCGCCCCAGCTTGAGATGGTTGGCGAAAAGTTCATGACCCCCAGCGACGCTCCAAATCGATTTCGCAGCCCTTGAAACGCAAAGGCTGCCCGCCGTTCTGATACCACAAACCGGGGCTCAAGTCCCAGCATGAGGTGAAGATTTGGGGAAGATACAAGTTAGTTTCCAGCGGGGACAAGCTGCCAAGGTAAGCGCGTGTCCCTGGACTGAAACGCAACGCTGTTGCTGTGGCTCATATTTGCATTGCCCCTTTTCCAAGGTCATGGGGTAATGAGACCACCACTTTTCTTGCATTCCAGAACTTTTCAAACTACAACCCCATCTTTGCAAAAAGGCTGGGTTAAAACTTACCCAGGCGATTGAAGACCATATGTGTGCTTCTTCTTCTTCTTCTTCTTCTTCTTCCTTCCAAAAAAGCCACCTGGCCACAGAATCTCATGAAATCCGAATTGCCTTGGCAGGAGGAGGTAGCCCCAGAAAGAAAGCAACTGGCAAGCAAGGCCAGATGTGGCCAGATCTTGAGATTCCTTTTCAAGGAACCACTGTGAAGCTTTGCCTTTCCCAAGGAGGTTGCTTAGCCATTCCCGTTTCTTCTTCAAGTTTCTTTTCATGGCTGGAATCTGAGCAAAAAAGCGCGCAAGGCGCACAGTGCAGAAGAGTGAGTCCATGCAAGCAAGGTCGCAGCTTGTCGGCCATTCGCAGCCAAGGCTGCAGAGACTCTTTTTCTACGCAAATCATGACTGCTGTCTCAGGTCAAACATCTGCGCTGCTTCACCTTCCAAGGCGCGCAGGCAAAACTTTTTTGACCGACTTCAGCAACACATGCCTGTCTAGGCCTTCAAGTGTCGGCCTCGGGCATTCCACACTGCCAGGCCAAACTTCTTGGAGAGGCTGCTTTAGCTGGCTCAGAACCTTTTCCAAGGAGGTAGATGCAGCTCTGGACAAGCGCAGGGCTCTCCAGCCCTACAGCCTGGCTTCTGAGCACTTCACACACACACACACACACACTCCAGCCCCCACCTAGCTCTAGCGTGCGTGGAAGCCTTTGAGGAAAAAGGGGGTCTGGTCTCTTCCATCTCTTCCAGGGGTGGAGGCGCACCGCTCCAGCTCTCCAATTGGGGCCTGCTGCTTCCATGGTTGCGCTGCGAGCCACTCAAAACAAATCAAATCGATGAGGAGCCCAAGACATGCCACTAAGAAAATGCATTAGGGAGTCCATGGCAAAACCAAATAGAAAATCATTTGGGAAACCAATTTGCGAATCAGTTGCGGGATCAAAATTGGAATGCGGGATCAAAATTGGAATTAACTAGGTATTCAACTGCAATCAACATTTCACCAAAATTGCCCTTTGATTTTCCACGTTGCGTGAAGAATCAGAATCTCAGAGGGCTTGCTAATTGATTGTAATGAAGGTCGGATGCTCAGGGTGTCATCCATCTAACATCAAGGACATGATAGGGAATGTGTTGGGTAAGTATCTTGTCCAATCAATCACCGAGTCGGACAGCAAGAAGCAGGTGGAAGAGACTATCAGCAAGACATGAGGCTCGCCATTGGAATGACGCACACTTCGGGGAAGAAGATCGATGCTTTCGTGAGGATTATTTGGGTCCTTGTCGCAGTCAACAATCACGCTGAACCACGTCAGGGAAGAGAAGTGAAGGACACCCCCTTCAATGAAGCACCAATTATGAAGATGATGACCCGCAACAGCGCGCGTCTCTTGTGTATCAACGAAGCCGATGCATTCTTCTTCAATGACCCGGCTATCCATGCAGGACACAAAGGCATCGTCCTGAGATCCTGGGGCGCGAGGCCCATCGCATGCCTTGTCCGTGGAAACGTGCACCCAGAGTTGATCTATGGGAACGCTACACATCCGAGAGATCCAAAACTGGGGGGCAACATTCGGTGTTCAGATGCGATTTTGGCACAGATGACAGCGTGGAAGATCAGGAATATACGAAACGTGCGCCGGAAATGTCACGAAGACCGACGATCTTGACAAGACACAGCTGTGCCGGGCATCTGGATCTTCAACATTGCAGCGCTGGAGCGAATTCGAGACTATGGAGCCCGCGGAGCGTGTGGAGACCTAGCAAACATCCAGAACAAGGACCTTTCCTGATTGCGCGGTGACGTTCGTGTTCGGTTGGGGAAAGACGAAGGGTCAGCAAGAGTACCGAGTGGCAGAATCATGCAGCATGTCCAAGGAAGACAAAGAGCAGTTCGAAAATGACCGTGGGTTTGTCATTGCCGATTTCCAGATATCCTCTTCAAGCATGTCGCCATTCAGACGCTCATGAATGGACAATGCGACTCGGACTGGACGCACCCCTGATGGTTCACATCCAAAGCCTATCCGAAGCCAAGAAGAGGTGGGTTCATCAGAATTCTCAGGGGGAGAAGGATTATTACTCCTCTGGGCAGAAGGACAACAAGCGATGCCACAACAAGGTGAACGAACGGCGGACGGATGCTACGACCAATCCTGGTACGACTACTTGGCATCCGTGAGCCAGGGATACCAGAAGACATGGCCTTAGACCCACAATGGCAATCCTCATTGCAGGTGCCAATCACATTCGCAACTCTGACACACGCAAGCATATCAATGACCTATCGACGTTCTCACGGATCAGTTCTCATGACCTCTTTGTCTCAAGACGATAATAATTGCAATGTCAACCTTACGCCTACAAGACTACTTGTCGTGAAGCGCGGGAGTCAATAGTTTCACACAAAAAGCAATCCTGCCCTTCTTTTTGAAGCCATGCATCACATTGCCAAGGACGCAACCATTTCAGGCACGACTCGGTGTTGAAGTCCCAAGTTTGCCGATTCAATCATTCGGAGTACAGTTGTGCAAACGTTTGTAAATACATGACGCATCAACAAGTCCGTGTTACAAAAGAGCAGTGACTCTTCTTTTCGATTCGAAATCAATTAACTTTCAACGGCCTGAGCACAGTTGAAATATGGCTATGGCACTTAATTCGATGTTGAAGGTCGAAAGGGGTTTGTGTCTGTTTTGTGTTTGCTTTTGACACAGTTGACCTTCAAACAATCTTCCATTTTGGCTCAAGGCCACGCGAAAGACCTTGCGGCAGTGCATTGCAGCAACAAGGAACAAAGAGATAACCAAGAACACCCATTGACCAAATAGGTCCCAGGGCCATGTGCGTTTCCTACCACACGGTTGAAATCCCCCTCCTCCCCGCCCGTATACGTGCCCCCTGTGCGGGATTTGGGGGAATGCACCATGTTTTGACACCTTCGCATTGAAATATGGCATTGTATGTAAGGAGAGACATCTTTTTCAATAGTGGTTCTTTTGTTGCACTTCCAAGGTTGGCTTATCAGTTTAAGAGTTGCCTTGCAGCATGCCTTCGTACACCTTCCCACATGAAGCGCACAGGCTCCCTTTCTCAAAAACAGTCCCCATGTTGGAGGGAGAGGTCATCCCTCTTTGGCCGTGGACAAAGCGCAAGGCTAAGACCCGCCCACTCCCTTGTAAGTAAAAGAAATGAACCCAAAAGCGCGACAGGTGCGACCTCAAACAGGAGAATTTTTCCCGAACCCACGTTAGTCTGCAGATTGGCAAAGACCCAAGATCCTTGCGGAAAGGAATTATAGGCTCCTACGATTTCCGGCTTCTTGCAAGGGGGTGGATTCGACACCCTCACAGCTGCATGCGTGCGGGCAAGTGAAAAAGTTCGATGTGACCGAGAAGTTTGGATTCAAGATTGGCAGCAGTAAAACCAGTATAATCTTCATGTGAAATCGGTCGACCTCATGGGGTTGCGACCTTGAGCCCCGCGGTTTGCGTAGAGGAGAACCCCTGTTTCCCCGACGTTGAACCATTGTTCCTCTTGCATCACTTCATTCCGGAGCCTGGCCTTTGATCTTCAAGATGCTCCTTGGACACTAAATGGGTCACAAAAAGCAAAGTTGCTGAGAGTGGCTTAAAGGCAAACGAGCAAGTTTTTCTCAACGCGCCGTACCAATCCAGGAGGTTCCCACACCTGCCCGATAACAATTCTTGATTGTTTTTTGGACCCGGTTTGACTTGGCCAAGAGGACTTGGGAAGGCATCGTTGTGAGACACACCGTGTTAGTGGAATGCCGAGCAGATTCGTATTTTGTTTCGTCGTGTCAGGTTTATTTTTGCTCTAGGCAGACATCATGAGCTTTGTTGCCAAAGTTGAGCACGCGCCTGCAATCCGCAGCCTGTTTCATTGTTCTACGCCTCATGCTTAGTAGATCAGACAGTTCTCACTTCCAAATGTGTCAGAGTTTCAGCAAGGAGCAGTCCCATAAATTTGTCCGTGAGATGTTAATGAGGTGTCCAGGGAAAGTCGACGACACATCCAGTTGTTTTGCCCTCTTGGGAATGTGTTTCCTCGTGTTACTACCGCAAAGTTTGCTGGTGTTTGGCCCCGGTTTCTCGTCTTGCGCCAAGCACCTTGGTGTATGTGTGTCATTTTCAGATTCCGTTTCAACAACACCGTTTTAGTCGAGCATCCAGCGATCAATGTTTGGTGCCCTTCCCCAGTCCAATCCATGAATTTCCCTGCCTCCAGAAGCGCCGCTCAAGTAACTGGAGCCCAACAGAGCATTGATCAAGTTTTGGTTTGTTGCGCCCCCGACTCAGGCAGGGCTACAGATTTTCAGGGGAATGTCCTGAAACATGGCGCGCGAAGATAACGCCCCCAATGTCAATGATGCCCACAAAGGGGTCCAACACAGAGCGACCAAATTAGTGACATACCCAGGTTTCTCCTCCAAATCCCTGGGAATTTGTTTCTTGATTTTTTTTAAACCTTTACAGTCATCTCGAAGTCTCCTTCAGGCCCGGCCAGCCCCGTGCCCTGCGCCGCGGAAAGTGCCAGCTCAGGCAAACAAGGGGTTTACTAGCTGAAAATCGGCGGGGGGCATGCCTTTCAGGCTTACCAGACCTTTGAGCCACCCAACAAGGGTTCTCTCAACAAAAAAAGTTCTGCATCCAACGACAAAGGGGTACTCAACTTGCAGTGCTCGTCTTGGCTTTCCCATGTTGGCAGCCGTGTCGAGTCACCGTTCCCAAAGGGTATCGTTTCTGCAGAAAGAGTTTTCAGAAGGCGCTTTGAACATGATCTCAACCAAGGGCTTCGCCGTGTTAGGGGGGAAGTGACGGAAATGAGTTCGGACCCTGTTTCCTGGTTCTAAGCAAAGTTTAGCTAACTGCAGGCTGATCCCTGGAAGGGTACCATGGTTCTGGTAGGGTCAAGGAAAGGGGCGGAGAATGTGGAACATGATGCATGCGTACATGTATACATTCGTCCCCCCCCCCCCCCCCACTATCCATCCTGCGGCGGAAACCATACCCTCCCTCCGTGGGGGCTTGCGCTGTTGCTACCTTCCGTGGACTTCCAACACAACTTGCGGGTTCCATCGCACATCCGGTTCTTGCTCAGGCCCTTGCCAGACCCAGGGCCACAGAGACTGCTACAACAGCGGGGAGATTCTAACGTGTTCCCTTTGCGTAGATTATCGCCCGGGTTGAAGTGTCACTCATGAAGTTCTTTGTCTCAAGGAAGCTCGCTGAGAACATGACGGGATGAATCGCGAGTGGGGCCGCGGGTTCTCCACCCTGGACGAGCCTACGCAACACACCAGACAGTGGCGCGGGATCATCACGCAAGCGGAAAGCTGAACCATGCGACGATGTCGATCCTGGCTAGACGACGCCGCAGCCAGAGACAAAGGCTTCCAGGAAAGCCGAGACCTTGAAGAGGAGAGCGGTGATCCATGGGTTGGTCGAGGACGTCAGGAAGGAGACGGCGGAGCTCGGCATTTGCGAAGGATGCGGCAAGAACTTACGACGGCAAACTCAAGGGTGTTGTTGCAAGTCACCGCCATGTTTTCGAAAGAGGTCATATCACCACCTGACGAGGAACGGGCGACGCTGCTCATGATGAGCATGGGCCAGAGCAGCCGCGCAAAACGACGGAGGACAACCAGACGAACTTGGTGATGATCCAAGGAGGGAGATTGCCAAGCGCAACAACTCAACGCTGATGAGGAAGATTGCCGACCGTGCGAAGGGAGGAGAGTCGCGAGATCAATCGCAACGGGAGCGTCAGAAGGTTCAACCAGAACTATGAGAGAACCTTAAGCCGAAAGGCAGGGGGGCTTTCCACAGCCCGAATCGGGTATCCGTCGGCAGTACTGAAGGACGATTGTTTGCAGATGAGCGTTTCGAAGGCGTTGTGCAAAACGCAAGTGCGACGCTGGTGGTTGGGTTAACGTTGATGCTATTCTGAGCGACAACGAAATATGTCCTTCGCGCCTGTTGCATCAACAGCGGTGCAGTGCAATAATCGAGCTGATGACATATCAAAGTACCGGAAGGAGAAGGGCACAATATCAGATCCTGACCGTCAAGATGATCGACGACGTCAGTGTGGAGGAAAATGAACCACACATGGCGTCATGAAGTACCGCAAGGGTTACAGCAGAACTCTCCGACTTTGGGCTCGCGTTGCCCGACGCGCTGCGCAATCGATTCACACCTAAGATCGGAAACATGATTGGCGGACGCACTCGCATTCACAACTTGCGGGGGGATTGTCCGGCTTGAGCACTAGTGCTCGGTGGCAGTCCACCTTGGGACAGCAACAATGTCGCAGCGAAAACTCGGCAGCGCTGGGACACGTGATGACCTAGTCGCCATCTACGTCCCGAGCCACGTTCTCGCCACGTACGGCGCAGTGCAACATCAAGCGGAACGACCGTTGCATTCGCACCAATTGCTTTCTCCGAAGTCCGATTCAGTTGGAATTTCGAGGCGGCGAGGCGATCTCCTCCAAGACAGTCGAGGATGAGCGAAGAGGCGAGACGCGTGGCCAGGAATGCTGCGAATTGAAAAGGAGCAGGGATGAAAGGCACCTCGCCGCGACCGTGAAGATTTGAGACGAAGTCAGCGGCATGATTGTGATCGCTGAGCAGGACGATCGTCCAACTATATGCCGCACATGCCCCGCACGCGCGTCATTAATCCCAAGATGCTGATGCCTCTGCTCATGTGCAACTGTGAACTCATGTCCGTTAGCAAGTTCGTGTTCCACAGAAGCGAAAAGTTGCCGAGGAAGTATAGAGGGGAGGTAACGTGCGCGAACAGCGCCCGGGAAGCGCAACAGATTGCGAAGGGGTTCGCCGAAGAGAACTTTAAGGAAGAGGAAGGAGCTGAAGACACCAAGACGAGTGGCGGCGGAGAAAGAGGATTCCCAGAACGCCTCGCACCACCGTCAGGCCAAAGCAGTTTGCTTGGATGAAGCTAGGCAAGCCGGCTATCTCGCGGGTTTCACTGCCCAAGCGCAGCGCTTTGAAAGAAACGAAATCCAAGAGGTTTCTGAGGCAACCCAAGGAGGTCGATGCTCCACTCACTTGGTGCGTGAGGAAGCAAGTTCCACTTCCACCACGCTACATCAAGAAGGTGAGAACGAGCAAACAAGACCACAACGGACTTGATTTGGGACGAACCCGGAGGCAGCCGAAAACAAGTATTTATGCTTTTGTGTTTCGCTGGCAGTGTACGACGGCATGATACAGAAGCATATACTTCTACGTGGGTCCGATTTCGTGTTTCGGCGTTGCATGTCAATTGATGATGCATGACATGTGCAACAGGTGAAACTACCGTATTCCAAGCATTTGCGCGGTGTTACTTTCCAGTTGTATGACCCCGGCCTGAAGTACAACATCTATGCGCCACTGAGACGCATCATTATTTGCAGCGAGGAGGTACAATCCTCGGCCTACGTCATGTCCAATATCATTCCTGTCTGGTTTCCTTTGATTCAGCGACGGCCGGGTGGATACTCAACACGGCTGACTTGTGGACACACTGAACTCACTCTGGAGGATAACGGTGGAAATTCTGTACATTGATTTCAATCCTCAGTGATGTGTGCAGCCTGCGCAACACTTCAATGGGTCGTTTGAACAATATGGCCATGATGAGCAACCGTTGGTTTGTGACTTGCAGCCAAATGATGAATCTCTCACTGCAGTGGGGGATGCGTGCAAGCGCCAGGCCGTGTGCCACATGTGCAGTCTTCTGATGGCAATCCCAAGCTCTGTGCTGAGGTGTTGATGTGCTTTGGCCCAAGACAAGATACAACGCTCCAGAGGCCGCAACCCCTACTGGGCAGCGGCCAAGGCCAAAAACCACCACACCAACCCCAGAAGTGGCGTTGGCTGGTCTTAGATTTTAACGTTGCCATGGGTATCACACACTGGTGCCACATCACACTATTCTACATTGCTCCTGGCCCGACACACAGGCAAACAAGTAAACATACATACACACATACTTACATACGCACATCTACATTCACACACACGCACTTACACACACATATACATATGCAGACACATACACATAACTGCACACACATTCACACACACACACACACACATGCAAGCGCGCGCTTACACACACACATGCAAACATGCGCACTTACACACGGACACACATGCATGCGTGCACGCATACATACATGCATACATGCATACATGAGCACATGCGCACAAACACCCTACACATACCTTCTGGATCCTTCATTTTTGGTTGGGTATTGAAACGCTCGGGGCTTCTGTTGGACCCAATGAAGGTATAGCGGCCTCGCCAAGCTTGGTTATGGAGTCCGTTTTTTATTGCAGGCTAGTGACTGCAATGCGTTTTTTCTTCTTCTTCTTCTTCTTTTTTTGTTTTTCGTTTGGTGTTGCCCTCCTTTGTGGTTCTTGGTTTTATCATCATCGATGTTCTCCATTGTTGAAACGGTTACAACTTCGCCACCGATTGTGTGGAAAGGTCGTGTCTCACGACTAGTAGCGATTTTAGACACAGATGTGCCTTGGAACGGCTTTTCTTGAGCTATTTGTAAACGGGAAATGTGAGCAATTTCATTGCCTCTTCATAAAACATAACCCTGTACCAAATAGAGTTTTCTATCCGTTCTACTTTTTTCAACGTTTCCGAGACATAGTGAGAACCACTGATTTCCATAGCTGTGATTTACTGTTGTGAAGGGGCTTACAACCCCAGCCAGGCGACCAAGACAAAAAGAACCGTGTACAAGGAAGAAGCAAACCATGTGCTAATTTTGAGGACAGCAGTTTGGTCTAGCTTGAGCTTCAACGGAAAATTGGATTGAACTAGCTTCGGTGATCTAGTTTGAGCTTCGAATTGAACCAGGTTCGGTGATCTAGTTTCAGCCTCGAATTGAACTAGGTTAGCTTGATCTAGTTTGAGCCTCGAATTAATTTGAGCTATGTTCGGCGAGTTTGGTCCAGTTTGGGCCTCGAATTGGTTTGAACCAGCTTCGGTTAGTTGGGTCTAGTTTGAGCCTCGAACTGGTTTGAACTACGTTCGGTTAGTTTGATCTAGTTTGAGCTTCGAGTTGGGTTGAACTAGGTTCGGTTAGTTTGACCTAAGTTTGAGCCTCGAATTGGTTTGTTCTAGGTTCGGTTAGTTTGATGTAGTTTGAGCTTTGAATTGAATTGAACTAGTTTGAGGTTCGAATTGGTTTGAACTGTGCTCGGTTAGTTTGATCTAGTTTGAGCCTTGAATTGGCTTGAACTAGGTTCGGCTAGCTTGATCTAGTTTGAGCCTCGAAGTGGCTTGAACTAGGTTCGGGCAGTTTCATCCAGAGCTTTGAATTGGTTTGAACTAGGATGGGTTAGCTTGACCTAGTTTGAGCCTCGAATTAATTTGATCTAGGTTCGGCTAGTTTGGTCTAGTTTGGGCCTCGAATTGGTTTGAACCAGCTTTGGTTAGTTTTGATTTAGTTTGAGCCTCGAATTGGTTTCAACTAGGTTCGGTTAGTTTTGTCTAGGTTGAGCTTGGAGTTGGATTGAACTAGGTTCAATTAGCTTGATCTAGTTTGAGCTTCGAATTGGTTTGAACCAGGTTCGCTAGTTTGATGTAGTTTGAGCCTCGGATTGGTTTTGAACTAGGCTCGTTTAGTTTGATCTGGTTTGAGCCTCGAATGGGTTTGAACAAGGTTTGGTGAATTTCTTCTAGTTTGAGCTTCGAATAGGTTTGAACTAGTTTCGGTTAGCTTGGTCTAGTTTGAGCTTCGAATTGGTTTGAACTAGGTTCGGTTAGTTTGATGTAGTTTGAGCCTCGAATTGGATTGAACTAGGTTCGGTTAGTTTGACCTAGTTGGCGTTTCGAATAGGGTTGAACTAGGCTCGGTTAGTTTGATCTAGTTTGAGCTTTGAATTGCTTTGAACTAGTTTGGCTTGGTTAGTTTGATCTAGTTTTGATCTAGTTTGAGCCTCGGCTTGCTTTCGCCCAGATTTGGTTAGCTTGATCTAGTTTGAGCCTCGAATTGGTTTAAACGGTCAGATGGATCTAGTTTGAGCCTCGAATTGGTTTGAACTAGGTTCGGTTAGCTTGATCTAGTTTGAGCTTTGAGTTGGTTTGAACTAGGTTCAGTTTGCGCCTCGAATGGGTTTAAACTAGGCTTGGTGATTTTCATCGAGTTTGAGCTTCGAATTGCTTTGAACTAGTTTCGGTTACCTTGGTCTAGTTTGAGCTTCGATTTGCTTGAACTAGTCTCGGTTAGCTTGCTCCAGTTTGAGCTTCGAATTGGATTGAACTAGGTTCGGTTAGTTTGATGTAGTTTGAGCCTCGAATTGGTTTGAACTAGGTTCGGTTAGTTTGACCTAGTTGGCGTTTCGAATAGGGTTGAACTAGGCTCGGTTAGTTTGATCTAGTTTGAGCTTAGAATTGGTTTGAACTAGGTTCGCTGCTTTCAAGGCGAGGCGGCGGCCCTTGAACTACGCAGAGGCGTGGAGTGGCTGGGTTCGTCTCAAAGCGGACCCCCAGAATGTCCTCGCTGTCTTGTTTTCGGCCAAGAATGCCCTCGCACAAGGCACGCCCATGCGGCCGCTGTAGCGGCGCCCAAAGCGACACCTTTCACACCGAAATTCCTGCAAGCAGGCGGTTGCCGGCCATTTTGGCTCAAGTGGTTTTCCCTGACTCTCGGGTTTCCCAGGCCTCGATTCTGCTTTTCACTTTGTGAATGGATGCGGCTATGGGTGCCACGCTTGATGCCAGGGTGGAAGCCGCCAGGGCGGAGGACGCCGAGGTTGCCAAGACCAAAGGTAAGTGTGGCCAGTCTGGCAACGGGCGCCAAAACAGGCAACTTCCGAGAAAAGGACTGCGCGTACTACTTTTGCGCTTAGAAGTTGCGATATTGCAGCCGGAGCTCTGGTCCAAACACCGATTCGCAAGCAAAGAAATTAGAAAAACCGAGCGGCGCCACAGCGAGAGCGCTTCGACACGCAGGATCTTCGCAGAGGGTTCGCCGAGAGCAAGACGCATTCGCGCGGCGCCGAGCGAGAGCGCTTCGACGCGCAGGATCTCCACAGAGGGTTCGCCAAGAGCAAGACGCATTCGCGCGGCGCCGCAGCGAGAGCGCTTCGACACGCAGGATCTCCGCAGAGGGTTCGCCGAGCTCAAGACAAATTTGCACGGCGCCACAGCGAGAGCGCTTCGACGCGCAGAATCTCCGCAGAGGGATCGCCGAGGGCAAGACGAGTTCGCACGCGCCGCAGCAAGCGCGTGTCGACTCGCAGGATCTACGCAAAGGGCCGCCAGCAAGACAAATTCGCACGGCGCCGCAGCGAGAGCGCCCCAACACGCGCAATCTCCGCAGAGGGTTCGCCGAGCTCAAGACAAATTGGCACAGCGCCACAGCGAGGGCGCTTTGACGCGCAGATCTTGGCAAAGGGTTCACCTTCATCTCGCAACGCTTGTAAATGAGTGAAAGAGTGAAACGCTGCGCCTGCCACAAAAGTCACAGACCCTGTTTCCTATAGCACCAGCGCAAAACATACAGCGCCCACCACGAAAAACGCATGGCAGTCTCACAGAATGCTGCACTGGCCATGGAATTCTGCGGCGACACACAAATCCGAAGATCGGCGCGGCGCCGCAGCGAGAGCGCAGTTTTGAAGAAAGGTCCGTTTCGTGCGAAGCTGTCGCGCGCATGACAATTTTTTTGCGACAGCTGTGCCATGTTGTTAGAGCTCCGATTGTCCAAGCGTCGTAGCCTGACCTGACAAGAAGATATCACCGCATGGCAGCCCTGCCATCAAAAAACGCACTTTGCTCTCAAAAACGCGTTTGGCGCGAGGCATCCTCAAAAAGCACTCCCCGCGTCGCAGCGCAAACCTCCGTGCGTCACGCCATACCACGCCCCTGCCAACCAAAAACGTTTTTCTTCAAAAAAACGTAGCGCGAACCTCCCAACTGGCAGGCGACAAAATGCGAGCGGCGCCACAGCGAGACGCACGTGCCAGTGCGAACCTCAATTTCGTGAGGGACTGTCGCACCGAAGACAACTTTTGATGCGCAGGGCCAGCAATTTGAGCGCGAACCTCGATAGCGAACCTTGAAACCCAAATGCCAGATTCATCTTGCCTTTGCTCCCAGGAGGGCCCCAGAACCAGTGAAGCTTGGCAGCCTTGTTGGGCCGCGTAAACACTATTTGGAGAATGACAATTTTGAAAAATATTTAGGCCTCAATTCAGCTTGATTCGTGGTTTAAAGCGGGGCCCGGGGATTTATCATATTGAAAATATTGAAAATAATTGAAATACTGGAAACTTCGAAACAGCCCCACAAGTCAGGGCCCGGGGATTTAAATTAATTGAAATGGTTGAAAAATTAGGCCTCAAATCAGATGTATTTTGAATGGTTTAAATCGGGGCCCGGGGATTTGAAATATTTAACATATTTAGCGTAGTTAAGCCTCGAGTCAGTATAAATATTCAAAGCGTTTTAAACCAGGCAACCCAGGCAGGATCTGAGCCAGATTTAAAATTTGAATAGTACTTTAGTATTCTGAATATTTTTAATCAGGGCCCATGCATTAAAACGTATCCTTCTGTATTTTCAACATGTAGGCCTCAAGTCACTTGAAAATGTCGGAATTGGAACGGGTCCGGCGGTTTGAAAAATTTAGGACAGTTCGGCCTCAGTTCAATTGAAATATGCAAAGCAACTGGAATACTTACGATAATTGGAAATAATTCAGGTATTAAAAAATTGAAATAATTACAACATGGAAAATATTTAGGCCTCAAATCAGTTTAGATATTCTAAATATGCTGGATCCCAGGACCCCAGTATCGGAGCCCGATTTAAGGTTTAACTCTTAAAAAATGGTCATGTGTTTTAAACCAAGGCCCGGGGTTTTAACATGTTTCCAAAATGTCAAATATGTAGGCAACAAATCAGTGTAACTTTTCCATCAATAGTTTGAAGCGGGGCCCGGGGATTGTTATATTTCAAGTGAAGGCATCGCGAAGGGTTCTTCCGTGCGGAGCCCTTGGACAAGTTACACAGAGCCAAGTTGCACAGAGCCAAGTTGCACAGAGCCAAGTTGCACAGAGCCAAGTTACATAGAGCCAAGTTACATAGAGCCAAGTTACATAGAGCCAAGTTACATAGAGCCAAGTTACATAGAGCCAAGTTACATAGAGCCAAGTTACATAGAGCCAAGTTACATAGAGCCAAGTTACATAGAGCCAAGTTACATAGAGCCAAGTTACATAGAGCCAAGTTACATAGAGCCAAGTTACATAGAGCCAAGTTACATAGAGCCAAGTTACATAGAGCCAAGTTACATAGAGCCAAGTTACATAGAGCCAAGTTACATAGAGCCAAGTTACATAGAGCCAAGTTACATAGAGCCAAGTTACATAGAGCCAAGTTACATAGAGCCAAGTTACATAGAGCCAAGTTACATAGAGCCAAGTTACATAGAGCCAAGTTACATAGAGCCAAGTTACATAGAGCCAAGTTACATAGAGCCAAGTTACATAGAGCCAAGTTACATAGAGCCAAGTTACATAGAGCCAAGTTACATAGAGCCAAGTAGAGCCAAGTTTAGAGCCAAGTTACATAGAGCCAAGTTACATAGAGCCAAGTTACATAGAGCCAAGTTACATAGAGCCAAGTTACATAGAGCCAAGTTACATAGAGCCAAGTTACATAGAGCCAAGTTACATAGAGCCAAGTTACATAGAGCCAAGTTACATAGAGCCAAGTTACATAGAGCCAAGTTACATAGAGCCAAGTTACATAGAGCCAAGTTACAGAGCCAGGTGGCACAGAGCCAAGGTTAGGTAGAGCTTGCGTAGAGCTTCGGCGTTAGCAGCTATGTAACTTAGTTTAGGTTTCTAAGGCGCCGGGGCGGGAGTTTGATCGTCTCTCGGGATTGCGACCCTTTGCGGAGATTCGCGTGGTCGAGGTTCAAAAGCTGAGGACTTTTTACGATTTCTGCGGTGCGCGCGCGACCGTCTGCGGAGATTCGCGTAGGCGAGGTTCAAAAACTGAGGACTTTTTACGATTTCTGCGGTGCGCGCGCGACCCTCTGCGGACATTCGCATGGTCGAGGTTAAAAAACTGAGGACTTTTTACGATTTCTGCGGTGCGCGCGCGACCCACTGCGGAGATTCGCGTGGTCGAGGTTCAAAAACTGAGGACTTTTTACGATTTCTGCGGTGCGCGCGCGACCCTCTGCGGAGATTCGCGTGGTCGAGGTTCAAAAACTGCGGGCTTTTTACGATTTCTGCGGCGCGCGCGCGACCCTGTGCGGAGATCGTGCGCGTCGAAGCGCTCTCGCTGTGGCGCCGTGCGAATGCGTCTTAGTCTCGGCGAACCCTCTGCGGAGATTGTGCGTGTCGAAGCGCTGTCGCTGTGGCGTCGTGCATTTTCTTGCTCGCGAAACGGCCTTTGGAAATTGTCTCGTGGTTTGCGCGCCTGCTTTCGCAATCCCGCGGTCGCGGGTTCGATTCCCCCGTGGTCCGCGGCAGCTCCGGCTTGAAAATCGCAGCTTTTAAGTACAAACGTAGTACGCGGAGCGTGCTCCTGCAGCTCCGGCTGGAAAATCGCAACTTTTAAGTACAGACGTAGTTTGCGGAGAGTGCTCCCGCAGCTCAGGCTGGAAAATCGCAACTTTTAAGTACAAACGTAGTACGCGGAGCACACCCCCGCAGCTCCGGCTGGAAAATCTCAACTTTTAAGTACAAAAATAGTACGCAAAGTACATTCCCACAGCTCCGGCAGCACTTGCGCAGAGCAACTTGCGCAGAGTCACTTGCGCAGAGCAACTTGCGCAAAGCAACTTGCACAGAGCAACTTGCGCAAAGCAACTTGCACAGAGCAATTGCACAAAGCACTTGCACAGAGCACATGCGCAAAGCGCTTGCACGGAGCAACTGGCGCAGAGCACTTGCGCAGAGCAACTTGCTCAGAGCACTTGCGCAGAGCAACTTGCACGGAGCGCATGCGTAAAGCGCTTGCACGGAGCAACTAGCGCAGAGCAACTTGCACAGACCAACTTGCACAGAGCGCATGCGCAAAGCGCTTGCGCGGAGCAACTGGCGCAGAGCACTTGCGCAGAGCAACTTGCTCAGAGCACTTGCGCAGAGCAACTTGCACAGAGCACTTGCGTGCAGCAGCTTGCAGAGAGCAACTTGCGCGCAGCAGCCCGGAACAATGCAGCTTGCGCAGACCACTTTCGTGAGAAATCGCGCGGCGCAGTTCGAGAGGAAACTAGGATGATGAGATGGAGCTCTCATGTGACCATACACACCGAGGGATGAGCACCTGTGGAAAAATGCTTTCGGGCTAATTGTCCTCTAGTTTTTTAAATCGGGGCCCGTGGATTTGACATATTTTAAATGCTTAGGCCTGGCCTCAAATCAGTTTTTAATAGGAAACCCAGGGTCTGAGCCCGATTTCAAATTTATAATTTCTTAAATATCTTGAATATTCTGAATATTTAAGATAATTGAAATGTTTGGCCCGGGGACTTGCAATATTTCGAATCTGCAAAATGTTTTAGCCTCAAATCAGCTTCAGTTTCTTCAATAGTTGAAACCGGGGCCAGGGGATTTAGCAACTTTAAATAGGTACAGTTTCAAGGCCTGAGTATTTACATATCGGCTTAAATAGATACATATAAATGTGTCAGCTGATCCGACTAGAACAGGCTAAATTAGAACAAAGATAAGGCACCCACATCATTACAACTAGAAAAGCTAGACGAAGTGTGATAAGTAGCATAACTAGCAAGATGATTCTTTAACTCCTCAACAGGCACCCGCCCCTTTAGGAATTATCAGGCTAGTGAGAGAGTTAGAGCAATTTGTACAAATAACCTGGAATTCGCCCAACAGGCATCCGTCCCTTTGGAAACTATTCAGGCTTGTTGGCGCAAACATGACTCTGGAACTCCCAAAAAACACATGTCCCGTTGGGAACAAATCTAACATCTTGAGCAATTAGCAAAACATATGTTCTCATATCACCCTGGTTATTCGGACCAATGGGACAAGTAGCTAGATAGAAGTCAATGAATCGAAAGTTCTACTCAACAGGCACGTGCCCCTTTCGGAATACATGAGTAGAATAGTTTGAAGCATGAATCTGAAATCTGTAAAGGGCATGCTTCCGTTGGGGAATGATAAGAACAGCTCGAACAATTACAGGAACTTGCAAATAAAGTGATGTGGATTTCCTGAGAAGGCACGCGTCCCTGTCTGAACAGTTAGAATTTGGTCTATGCTTGATGCTTCTAATTCGGTAGAATCATGTTAATAACTACAACAGTTGCTCAGGATTAACGCGTACTTCCCCCAAAGGCACCTGCCCGTGTGGGAACAACACGTGACATGATTGGAATAATGAGAAACACAAAGCGATTGTTCAGCTGATTCAAGTTTTAACAAACAAGAAACAACCAATAGGGCTACGTGTCTTCGTTTTATTGTACGTATTCTAATTAAGTGGAACCAGTCCAAGACTCATAATGATTCAAACACATCTGCCATGCCTCCAAGGCCTCTTCCCCGTTCGGGAAAAACTAGAGTAACAAGAATGATTTTGACACTTGTATATTGCAAACATAAATCTTGAATTCCACAATAAATGAGTGTGATTGAACAACTCAAAGAAGTAGAATGATCAGAGCCCAGAAAAACCAGAAGAGTATAACCAGGAAACTCACCAAAAGCACCCCACCCATTTTGAATAAATCGAGAAAGCTAGATAAAACAGTTATTGTTATTAGACAGGGAGTCTGACTTTTCCCCGCAAGGGGCCCGCCCCTTGGGGAATAATCGTGAGAAGTAGAACAATTAGCGCAAAATGAATCTGGACCTCCCCAACAAGGCGCGCCCGGCCACTTGAAAAACCCTGAATGATGGAATTGCAAGAATAATGAGAACAAGCATGCGTGTTGAATTTCCCAAAAGGAACCCCGCGCTTTGGGAAGAGAAGAAGATAATGGTAGTTTATTTAAGTAATTGAATAGCTAGAACAAGCATGGATCTGGAATGGGCCAAAGGGCTCCGAATTAGAATAGCTGCGCAAAAGTGGAAATTGCATTTGAAGATCCAAAGCACGCCCGTCCATTCAGGAAAATTAAAAAATACAGACTTAGAAGAACTGGATTTGGAATTCCCCAGTTGTCACCCGAAAAGTATATGGAGTGATTCGAATAACTGGCAAAAACAAGGAGCGTGCGGGTCATGTCAGTTGCGAGAGATTGCCTTGAACTTGAAAGCTCAGGCGAAGCTGCATTTTGACAGGTGCCCAATGGAAAAACATGGACAGGCGACGCAAGTCTTGAGTGTGCCTAGCCCCGGGAGCTTTGAGAAAGGAGCCTGCAAAGTCGCACATGAGTCAGGCTGCCAGCGGCCAGCAGCAAGTGCCCGAGGAGTTGGAGGAACTCATGTGGCTCAGAAGCAACCAGCTTGTCGTCCATTGAGGCTTTTCCGGGGGAACGGGAATGTGCCCAGATAGCTTCGTTGGACAGCTGAGTTTTCACAGTCAGGGAATTGGGATTGACAAAGCCCTGGTTGACAGGGGTGTGTTTCAATCCGAGGGTCGGCGTCGCAGAGATTGTTTGTGTTAAGTTGAGTTCTTGCGACACCAAGGAAATCTGCTTGTGATACGGTCATGGGCGAAGAAAGGGAATTTTGGGTGTGACCCCCTCACACTCTTTGGTCTGCTTTCCTGTTGGTCTCAAGCAAGGAACCCCCTGAAAAGCAAGCAATCTCTTTGGTTTAGGATCAGCGTCTGGGGTGGGATCAAGGTGCGTTTGGGTTGGTTAAGGGTTGCCTGTTGAATGTTTAGCAATCTGGCGCTGCCAGCCAGCACCAGCTGCCGGCACCAGCCCACCGCCGTCGACACCACGACCTTCCGACGGCGCAGCCGCCTAACTGGGCCCACGAGTTGGACCACCCACCGCCGCCCGGCGCCCCCGCGAATCAGCCTCACCGGGACCGCCCGCCGGCGCCGGCGCCGGCAATCCGCGACACATTCCCCCACCATCCCACAAAGACCCAAGAAAGACTGGAATATGTATATATATATATATATTTATTTATATCTCTCGACACACATGGTCACCTCCCCCCCATGAACTACAGTTGGAGCATGCAGTTCATCTGGTAGTCCGGAATCAAGGGCTTATACAAAGGGAACTGCATGATGTTCGCGTAGGCGGCTTGCGTAGGCATTTCGTGGGCATCTCTTGCCTCTTTCCTTGCGTGGGCGGCAAGATTAGGCAGGCCTGGAATGACACAATGAATCATGTGTTTGAAGCTTTCGTGGCTGGGAGGGAGAGTAGCTACATAACTCACAGTTATTGCTGTGGGACTTGCATCGCTGCGTGTTCGCGGAGTCTCCTATCGCTCAGAAGGTCAGGCCTGCGTGCTTCAACGCAGAACGCCTCCATCCGCGTAGACTCTGCGTAGGCGCACGCTCGAGGCTCATTTTGTTGAAATTGTCCCTTTCCGGGCGGGCCACTGCCGCTGCTATGCCAAGCTTCCCGAGTCAGCCTGCGCCGTTTCAGCCTGCGCCGTTTCAGCCTGCAGCTGCCAAATGGAGCACCTCGAGAACTACAATTGTTCTGAAAAGTTGCGATTTTGGGAGTTGGAGCTGTTAGGCTTGGCAGAGTTTCAAAGCTCGAAGTAGCAGCGCAGCGGGCAAGCAGCTTGCGCATTCAGCCGCGTAGGCAAGAAAGACGCAAACAGGCGCGCGTAAGCGCCCCTTGTAGTCGCGGAGGCTTCGCGTAAGTGCTGGCGTAGGCGCGTGTGCAGTGTATAGGGCCCCAGCGCCAAAAAACACTGCCACATCGATGGATCGATACTTTTACAAGTCGAGCAGCATTGAACGGTACTTCGAGCAGATGGACGCGAATTTCGCGATTGCCAAGGCATGAAATTGTACATCCTGCGCAACAGCGGCCATACCAGAAATGTCAACATCGAGACACTTGGCCGACCTCGGTGGCATGAGCAGAAGAACACGAGGAGAAGGAGCGAGCCGACACATGAGCTTCCATCATCATCCTCCACAAAGAAGCCGGCTCCATCGCCATCTCAATCCAGCCAGGATGAAGAAGATCAAGGCGCAAGTCGTCAGTACAGAATGCGACGGCCAGCACCTCCATCAGGAACAGAGAAAGTTCAATCCGACAAATCGCCGATGACTTTCATGCTGCACGCGGCTCTCGAGGAAGAGATCTACAAGATCATGGAGAACGGGCTCCAGCCAGGAAGAAGTCATCCTGGATGATGAACCCTCATGAGGCATTGCAACATGTACCCGCTGGACGAGACGCCATGATGATGACGACCGTCCTCACAAGGAATCCGATCGAGATAGATCAGTTCGGCGCAAGGTGACCATGGAGTTTACAAGCATGGAGAACCTGGATAACTTCATTGCAGAGTTCAAGGAAGGGGGATCTGACCAAAGATCAAGCAAAAGAAGAGCTCGAAGAAGCGAAGGAGCGTGCTAAGACCATCATGCAGCCCTAGAAGAATTCCGGGCGAACCAGACGAAATCAGGATGTCCAATCTGCTTGCCCTTAAGACCCTCAGGTACAATTCGGATGCTAGTGTCATCAGGGCATCCGCGAACATCCTGCAAAATCTCATGCAAGCATCCGATCGCCCCCATGTTGAGCACGATCAGAACTACAACTTCACCTCCTCCCTGCAGATAAATCTGCTTACCATGAACCATGGCAACATTCCAAAAAATCCAAAGATGAATGATCAAGAAGTGAAGGACATGCCAATGAAGTTCCGCTCAGATCATCTGTCTGAACAAAGCAGACATGTTCTTCGAGGATCAGGACGAGAAGAAGCAAGCCCTCGCAAAGCTGTTCATTCAGCGCGGCTAAGGGAATTGATTGTCCTCAATTCATGAAATGCGAGACCAGTCGCACGTTTCGTCCGTGGCAACAGGCAAGCAAGAGTCGAGCTGTGGAGCACCACCTTTGGTATGTTCAGATGTTTCTTCGGCGCTGAGCCCGGCAGCAACGACCCTGAATACGACCAACCGACATCCGATTGCTTGGCCACTACGGGAATGACAATGTTCACAAAAGGAGGTCGGACCTAGATTGCCACCGCGCACCAATGTCAAGGGCTTCGATCATCACTCCCAACGAGCACCACGACAATCGCCGCAACAAGAGCTGGACTCCCATATGTGAGAGTTGAAGTTTGTCACATCCATCCAAGAATTAGCTATGGAGCAGCATCAACCCGTATATCGTCCGGACCATGGTCTTCTGATTACATCGCGAAGAAATACCAGATGGCATGGGACGACGCCGGCAGATTGCTCATGCATAGATTGAACTGCACAATGGAATCCACGCAGTGCCAAGGCCATCCTCAGACATATCCTTTACACGAAGACCGGCTCCGGATATGATTGAACATTTCCAGATTGCACGGTTACGTTGACCTTTGGACGGGGCAAGACAGACAGGCATCAGCAGTTCCGAAAGAACAACTTGAACGCGCTGAGTACAGATCAACTGGAGAAAACGGAGAATGACGCACTGTCCATGATTCCCGACTACAAGGTTCCATCAGGAGAACGATTCAAGCGCATCAACAATGAGATGTTCATGAGTGGCTCATGTGACTCAGAATCACACAGGCCGTTGATGACGTGCAAGAACCGCGTTGAAGATCGTGAGAGGAATTTCCAGAAGTCCAAGGAAGATTACCGCAAGAAGGCTGAGACGACATGGGCGCCCTGGAGCTACAACAAGGCATCCAGCGGCCACAACAACTGGAAGGACTACGTCCAACAGCAGTGCTTACTGGTACAACAATCGGTACTGAGCTGCCATCCAGCCTTTCCTGGGCAGGCATTTGACCTCCATGGTCCAAGATACATGCCAATGTGTCAACCTACCGTCAACACTTCGAAAGAGAGACTGCGACGAACTTCGACAGATTGGTCCTCACCATCAGCAAGACTATTCAGCGAGAGGCCAATCGTTTCACACCGTTTTGACCAATCACAACTAGGTATCCGATCGTGTACAATTCTTTTCCAGTTGGTGTACAAACCTTTTTCAGTTGCGCATAGACGAAACAATCCACCCGGGACAAAAGAGTGAGTTTTTTAAATGGCGTGACACACGATATCTGTCGCCAATCTTTATTGAGTAGGCTTCGGCGTTCGAAGCAAGTTTCACATGACTACTGTCAATACGGCATTCGAAACGTACGCAAAGGCCATGAAGCCAGCAGTGCAATAGTAACTCAGTGCTGGAGATCAGAAGAAATTTGTGTCTGTGCGCTCGAATGCAGACTTCTGAATATGTACACGATTGAAAAAACGATACACAATGACTACTCATAGATAGACAATGACTACTCCTAGAATCATGTTAAGAAACTCCGGAATTCCTGGAGTCAACAGAAATGGAAATGCAAATGAAATGGATCTCTTGATCGTTGTGCCATTAAGATGGCAGAGCGTTCCTTTCCAACCGTTGGATACTCTTCCTCTTGGAAAATCCTCGTTCGTTTCCAGTTGTCTATTGCGGTTCGGTTTCTCCTCGGATATGTTGGGGTTCTCACTCATGGGATCAGCCTGAAGTGACCACATAGTCGGGAATCGTGTTCATCCTCCTGCATTCGGCGATTCTTGGCCCAATGGTACTGATGATGACATCCTGAATATGGGCCTCTCTGCCTTTCCTCCCAAGTGTGTTTTGCGGGTGTCAGAGCTCCCGTCTTGGTTCTGCTTGCCATATTCAAAGCAATCCACACCAGACTCTGAAGCGTCACCCAGACCGAGGAGTTTGTGACAAACTGTCTGTGGATAAGGCGCACTCTGCCTGTTTTGTCTCCTCGTACGAAACATCCCTTTGCATCCTCCCTGGGTCAGCAATTCCGGTATAGGTGGCCTGGATGAAAATTGCTGCACAATGAGATTTGTGATTTCATCTGCTCCTTGGAGGCATAGCCATGTCCTGAGTTATTGCGGATCACGCGCAGTATGATGGGTTTATGCAGGTTGCTTCTCTTCTTGGATGTCCGAGTCGCTTCCATTTCATCATCGGTTCTGGTTCTCTTCGTCTTTGTTGATTGTAGGACATGTTGCAGAATCTCAAAATATCGCCAACGATGTTTTTTTGCTCGAAGACGCTTGCGGAGGACCCTTGTGACGGTGTTGCGAGGAGAACCGGGTTTGACCGAAGGGTGGTGAAGGTTCGGCAGTCGTCGCTGGCTGGGAGCCTCTGGAGCGGGCGCTGCGCGTGTTTTCCTCTTCCTTCCTTCGTTTCAACATCCTCGGAAGCAGCCTTGCGCTACGACGCGCTGGGCGTGATTTCGACGAAGCGTCGTGGCAAACGCTGTTTCTCTGAGAGCGAAGCAAAGTCCGCGTGAAACAGACCTTTCTTCCTGCGGTCTCGCTGTGGCGCCGTGCCGATTTTCGGACTTGTGTGTTGGCGGCTTGGCTCCACGGCCAGCTCAGCGCGCCATGAGCTTGGCATCCAGTTCTGTGGCGGGCGCAGGTATTGCACAGAGAAGCCCGTCGCGTCCTACGAGCCCTCCACAGCTCTGTCAACATGTGGAGCTGGAGCTCACCGAGCGTGCCAAACTCTGGCCTGGTTGATGATAGCCCAGATCCACCTCTGCCCGGCAACGCGGTCCGCAAGGAAGACATCAAACGCGCTTCCAGCCCCGCTCCGTCTAAGAAGGATAGCGAAATTGACAGGTCCAAAATGGCTCCAATCCCCAGCGCCGTGGCTCTTGTCAAGCCCAAAATCTTGGACCGCTGCTTCCTCTGACCCTCATCCCACAGACGCTGAGGGAGGAGCTCAAAGGAAAAGCCTAAAAACAACCAACGTCGAGGATGAAGACTTGCTGGCTTTGAGCCACAAGATACGCGGGCGCGAGGGCATCACAACCGGCGGGATGTCGGGACGGACGAGAAGCTCGAGTCCATCGAGGCCCTCTTTTGCTCACTGCAGGATGTCGAAATCTAGGAAAAGCGACCCACACCGAAGAAGCTTGAGGGGTCCACGCCTATTGCAATTACTGCATCTACAACGGCCCAAGACTAAAGAGGCGTTTCCAACAACGAAGTCCGCACTTTACAAATCTTGCTTACCTATGCGGCCTCCCGAATCAGGTCGACTTTCAGTTCGTTGCCAGGCTCTCCGCAATCTCTGTTGGGCAACGCCTATGAAGTGAATGGCCAGCTGTTCATCATCCGGACGCACCCCCAGTACCCTCGCGGCAGCGCGGAGACTTCCACTGTCATGTTGCCGCAGCATTGGCGCCAAGTTCATTGAGTCGATCCCATACCAGCCGTACAAGTGCCGTGACATCCTCGAATCCTTCAAGAAGAGCGAGGCCAAGTGGGTTAATCTCACTGCGCGCCATGTTTGAAATTTCTTCTCCTGTTGCACAGTTGCCCTCGCTGCGCTCTCCCGATCCTCTAGGATGGCTTCAGCGCATCCAGCCAGAATCTGGCTGAATGAAAAGACGCGGGCGTGGGAGAACAAAAAGAAGCGGGTGGGAGATGTCACGATATGATTACCCGTTCGCCTATGGGATCCCGATGAGATCGAGGGATTTGTTATGGCACTATGCTCGCATTGAGGAGACAGACAGGTGCGCCCCCCCCCCCGCACTTAGATACCGTTCATCCTCAAGATGAAGCGCCGACACAACAAGGAGCTGGAGTCAGTGCTCCTTCATGCGCGAAAAGTTCACGCCAAGATCGAACGGTGGGTTGCCACCATTATTGAGGCTCTCGGCATCCGCCTGCTGGACGAGGGCTTGCGACCAACACCCGCAACCTCACAAAGGGCGCGTTGCGGACACCCAAGAGAAGCGCCAAAGTAAGAGAGGGACGCAAAAGGTCGACGTGCAGCACTTAGGTTCATGGATGTTTCGTGGAAGACTTCGAGGACGGATATGGGAACATGGTTTCCACGCAAGCGAGCGCCAAAGAAGTGCAGGAAATCGCAACGGGTTGAGATGTCCGATGAGGAGAACGAGGCATCTCGTGAGGCGCTGTAAGACGACGAGCCGAAAGACTTTGAGGCCGGGAAGCCTTGACAGGCCAGTCTTCCTGCCCAGTCTTGAGCACGCCGTTCATGCATTCTTTGACTTGCGTCATGGATGGCTTGATGTGCTCTTTGAGTGTACTCTGGAGCTCTGTCTTCCCAAGATGCTCGCAGTCTTTGCAGGAGAGTCTTGAATCACAAACTCACCGTTGCTTCGGCGATGACTGAAGAAGCTGCAAAAATTATAAAGGAACACAGTGTTGGTGCCCTTTGAGAATCAGCTGCGTAGGAAGTTGAGAAAGTACTCCGCTCCGTTTTCTGGATCTATGAGTTTCTCCTTTGGAGCTCGCGGTGTTCTTGAGAAGGACCTTGCCTGCTGTGAATGTAATCCAGTCCCTTACCAGATCTTCATACCGAAGCCAACTAACACGGCGTCGTACGATGGAGGTATTCATCGAAAGGTTGGTTGCGCGGGTTGTTCTGTTCCATAGAAGTCCTCTTCACTTGTCATTCTGATTTCGGAGAACCTGCTCCGCTAGGTAAACAGGGGGTACCACACATATATACATATATATTACACATGAATATATATATATACACATGAATATGTGTACGTATATCTGAACCTGGGGCCCCGTCGTCGTTTGCCACTCAGGACCAGTATGGGCCTTGGCCGCTCCCGGGACGACGTTCTCGCCTTCCTGAACGCAAATAGCTCTGAAGAGTGGCGCGCGCAACAAGGACCGGCGACAAACCAATTGTCCTGGTTACTGATTGGATGCAGAACTGTGACCACATGTTTTGTTTTCCGAAATGTATGTCACGCAAGAGGGTACCCTTTTCCAAACTGCTTAGGCTTTTCCCCTTTGGTTTGTCAGCGCCTGGCGCCTGAAAAATGAAGATGGGTACTACCGAACAGATCGCCTCCGAGAGGAGCAAAATGCAATTCGTCCCCCTTGTGGTGAATATCCACCACACAGTCAAATAGTTGAGCCAACCAAGCCGTCCGTGCGTTCCGTCTTCCATCCAAGCCGTCCAAGGCTGAGCCCCGATCAGTCCAATCCATCTGAATTGGGCTTAACCACGACGCCTGTACGGGGGCGGGTTCGGGTCCCGGAACGGTCCCGAACGGTCCCGAACGGGTTCGGAGATGTAACCAATGGCACGGTTGCGCGCAGGTTTCACAAGGTTTGAATTGCGTGGCAGGCGCAGTACTTTGGCAAGGTCAAGTATAGAGTTCGTGGCAGGCACAGTGCATTCGCAAGGTGCTGCATCCATTCTCTGCCAGCTGGAGGATAGCGAGATGCAGAAACGTTGGCACTGTGCGTGAGTTGGGCAGTGCGCAAACCACCCCGGCTGCGACGCCTGTACGGGGGCGGGTTCGGAACGGTCCCAGAACGGTCCCGGAACGTTGGCACGGCCGCGCGCAGGTTTCACAAGGTTTGAATTGCGTGGCAAGCGCAACGTCAAGTATAGGTTTCGTGGCAGGCACAGTGCTTTCGCAAGGTGCTGCATCCATTCTCTGCGAGCTGGGGGATAGCAAGATGCAGAAAACATTGGCTCTGTGCGTGAATTGGGCTTGCGGACAGTGCGCAAACCACCTTGGTCGCGACGCCTCGGTCCCGGAACGGTCTCGGAACGGTCTTGGAACGGTCCCGGAACGGGTTCGGAGATGTGACCATTGGCACGGCCGCGCGCAGGTTTCACAAGGATTGAATTGCGTGGCAGGCGCAGTACTTTGGCAAGGTCAAGTATAGAGTTCGTGGCAGGCACAGCACTTTCGCAAGGTCAAGTGCAGATTTCGTGGCAGGCGCAGCACTTTCGCAAGGTCAATTACACATTTCGTGGCAGGCGCAGCACTTTCGCAAGGTCAAGTATAGATTTCGTGGCAGGCGCAGCGCTTTCGCAAGGTCAATTATAGATTTCGCGGCAGGCGCAGGGCTTTCGCAAGGTCAAGTATAGATTTCGTGGCAGGCGCAGCACTTTCGCAAGGTCAAGTATAGGTTTCGTGGCAGGCGCAGCACTTTTGCAAGGTCAAGTACAGATTTCGTGGCAAGCGCAGCACTTTCGCAAGGTGAAGTACAGATGTCGTTTCGTTGCATGCACAGCACTTTCGCAAGGTCAAGTATAGATTTCGTGGCAGGCGCAGCACTTTCGCAAGGTCAAGTATAGATTTCGTGACAGGCGCAGCACTTTCGCAAGGTCAAGTATAGATTTCGTGGCAGGCGCAGAGAAAAGGCGCTCTCGGGGGGGGGAAGAAGGAAAGTCGACGTTTGTTTTTTTGCTTTGGCGCACTGGGGTGGAGGCTTTGGAAAAGGACAAGAAAAAGAGCTGAAAACAGCACACAAGACCAAGAGAGAGAGAGAGAGAGAGAGAGAGAGAGAGAGAGAGAGAGAGAGAGAGAGAGAGAGAGAGAGAGAGAGAGAGAGAGAGAGAGAGAGAGAAAGAGAGAGATGGAGAGAGAGAGAGAGAGACAGAGAGAGACAGAGAGAGAGAGAGAGAGAGAGAGAGAGAAAGAGAAAAAACAGAGAAAGAGAGAGAAGCAAGGAGCAAAGAACAGCTCTCCAAACTATAGTTGTTCACTGCTTTGAAACTTCCGCCGCCCGGCTCTGCCGGACCTTGCTTGTAAGCGGCTGGCAAGCAGTCCATGACAAGATGGGCATCAAGGACTTTGACCTTGAGATGAATCTGATCTCTACAACGCTCTGGGCGCAGTCGACGAGTGCCTTAGCATCACCAACTCTGTGGCCTTCTTGGCATCGAAGACGAATTCCTCCGAGGCGCAGATAGAGTCGCTTTCTCCAGCACTTTGCAAACTCTTCCATGCGAAGACCAAGGAGGTGACCGTGCCTACCTGCAACCGGATCTCAAAGCACTCACATGGAAAGCAGTTCCACCTGAGGATCGACGTGAAGGTCTGGCTGACGCCAAGAACAACCCCAACACGGTCAGCGGATTAGAGGGCGCCAAGACGGATTGGTTCGGTGTAGGGAAAGCTATCGTTTCATTAAAAGTAAGGCATTCAGGCAGAAAAGATTCCGGCCAGGGGGGGTTTTGGTTCAATCAGTGGCGGGTAGAAACCTTCGGTACCTGCTGGTGGCGACCTAGTGGCCGCTGGAAGCCTGCGGACCAAGAGACAGATTTGCCGTGCATAGTTCCCCTGAAGATTTTCCATGACCGTGTGTTCGCCCTTGGTAGCGGTGATGTTAGTTGTGTGGCGGCAGGTAGCTCAGATGCAGCGGATTTTCTCTGGCGACCGATCCAGAACCACCCTCAATTCGGCCATCCTATCGCCATGGTGGGGCAAGGGGTGGAGTTACAGCGCAGCAGGCCCAGATGAACCACCCTTTCACGTGTTTTTGCCCACGGCGTCCGACAAGTCAGAGGAGTCCGACGTGTCCGACGAGTGTGACGTAGGGCTGTCCGCGGCGTCCACGAGCTGTCCGATCCGTCCGTCTGTCCGAACTGTCTGAGCCGTCCGATCCGTGTGAGCTCTCCGACCCGATTCCCCTTGCAGTTGGGAATTTCTGATTGTTCATTTGTCAACTCCTGAGTCGTACATATCGTGGTTGGGCTGGCTAGGCTTATCGGGCGGGCCCGATGAATTCTGGGCCGCCTGTCGCAGGGAAGGCTATGCTCAAATTGGGCACGCTGCCAAAACTGCATGAGCTTGGGATCACTATTCCTGTTGACCCAACGGCCCCACTAGCGCTCATGTTTTCCACAATCTTGCCTGCAGGTGAGTTGTCCAGCCGCAGCATGAAGGACGGGTCTCGTTCATTGCTGGGAGGGTGTCCCCAACAGGACGTACAAACTCCGACCCACGCACTGTTGTGCTTGGCTGGGGCTGGGGAACAGGATGTCGTTGGAGTTGCCTGCTTTGTTTTGAAGGATCCCTTTGCTGCAATTTTCCTGGCTGACAAATGGCAAAAAAAACAGACGTGGAGAATTGCGCTTGCGGCATAGCTGGTGACGCGAGTTCTGCAAGATTGAGACAAGAAGCCCTGGGTTGGGCAATTGAATCAAAACCATGTCTTTGAACCACCCTAACTCATGCGAGACAGCTACAAGCAAGGGCCCACCCAAAAGGGATTGCAGACGGGCGCCACTAAGGCAACGGCAGAGGCACCTTTATCCAAACGCGGGCACGTTTTGACTAGAAGCCGACTTGGAGTACCAGGTTACACTAGTGTGGGCAGAGCGTGTTGCAAATTTTGGCTTCCACCTATGAGCCTTTTCTTGCAATGTCTTTTCGCAACAACAAGTCCCAGGCCCGCAAATAGTCCCCAATATCGACGGAAGACATGGACACTGTTCTTTCTCAGGGAAACCACTCCCCCCCAAGCCTTGCCAGGGTCTTGTTTTGGAGGCACATGGGGTAACCTGGGTTCAGGAATCATATCGACTTGTTTTTAGGCGGCAACGTCCAAAGGTGTTCTGACATACCAAGGGGCTGGGAAGTGTAGGTGTCCGTTTTGACATCATCAAAAGCTCGGCCCCTTTTCATTTTTTCTCGTGTGATTGCGTTGGAGGCGACAAACCTTCCTCAAGTTGCTCCGACTCGATTTTCCCTGAACACGTCACTGGTTTGTTTGTATATGGTTCGCAAGCCGACACAACGAACGCACAGCGCAAAACAAGGTTCCTTACTTATCAGTTGGATGATCGTCACAAATACAACCCTGCTAGCGCCTCTAAAATGTGCACTTAACCGGGCCAAGTACCCTTCTTCCGACAAATGTGCCCTCGCGCATGTTTGGTGGGAGGGTAATATGTGAGGTTTGCGGGCTTATATGTGAGGTTTGCGGGCTTTGAATTTCAACCGCGAGAACAACATGTAATCAGCCATGTGTTCAAGATGTCACCTGGAGTGAATGAAGACCGGAAAGGAAAGGAGGAGCCAAGAAGAAGAAAGGTGCAGGGGAGCCTCCCTCCGACGTGGAACAGGAGACATCAGCCGCAGTGTAAACTCAGATTGCGGTATCTCGGAGAACAAAGAAAAACTGAACCAAATCTGACAAAACCTTGACAAACAGGAATCGCACCGCCAGACTCAACGATAGGAGTGGCACTGCAACAACCAACCAACTGTGGACCGGACTGAGCAACGAAACAGGAACGGCCCCAAAGCTGGTCAAACCCAGGGCCGGCTTCCGGCTGGCTAGCAGGGGAAGGAGGCCGGAGCCCCCAACCGTCCCCCGCCCCCAAATCAGCGGAAGATGCTGCTGCCGCACAGTATTGAAAACTGACAACGAAAATCCCGTGTGCACCCTCAAAGGGTGTGGCTTGGCCCACTGTCAATACTCTAACAGAACCGGAGGTTTGCCCCGCGCCTGCCGCGTGGAAGCCTGCAGCCTATGGCACGGGTAAGGCCACTCCGTGCGGTTCATTGTCGGCTTAGGCCGCAGGTAACTTTTGTCTTTTCTTGTTTACTTGTACGTTGGAACCCCTGAACTCTGGGACTGGGGACGGGTTAACTTGGGACCCTTCTGTTGTGGCTTGCCTGTCCCTAACTGCCAGCCTGAATCACACAAAATGATGCGTCTTCCCGGGGGAATATATTTTGACCATGAGCTACTTCACCGGTACTGGTGCCACTTTACGGCCGTCAAAGTGAACATTTCAAAAAAACCATCCAAAAAACAAGAAACAAGGAACATGTTCTTGGGTTGGTTTGGGACCATCCAAAAAATGTGGCTTCTTTCAGTGTTAGGAGCTGAGCCGCTTGGCCACGGACCTGCTCCGGAACCTGGAGCCGGAGCAACAGGAACCGGGGCTGTCTAAACCGAAGCCTTCTGTTGCCATTTTGAGAGTTTTGATTAGATGTTTCCAGAAACAAGCACCCACATTTTCTGAAGAAAAATCAAGGCCTAGCCTCCGTTCGCAGAGAAGCCTGGTTTGGATGGACCGACACCGCCATGTTGGTTTCAGAAAGACACAGCAGAACCCAAAAGCGGATGGAGGCAGATTTTCTGCGGACCCGTTTGCCAACCAGCTGCGCTGGAGCTAGATGTGAGTGTGGGATTGTCAACGAGTTCGCAAGCACTCGCAAGTGGAGGTGGCTATCGATTTGCAATTCCCAGCATGTAAGGCAAGTGCCGGGGGCTCAGCGGAGCAGTTTAGCAGGGTGGGGCTACAAGGAACCATACACTTTTTACAACCAAAACAACCTTAGGGCAAACCAGGGGGTGCTCAATCAATAAGTCCAGCTACAAAATATATGTTCCCAAAAACGGAATTGAGCAACTGATGAACTGCCTTTTCTGCGGCACAAAACGCAGTTCGGCACTGGACATGCTCATGCGATTGGTCCCTTAAACTATAGTGTTTAGGTTGCTTTACTTTTCAATCCGTGCCCAAAAGACTTCAACAACCCCAGTCATGTGTTTCCGCGTTTTTGAGCAATGCTTTCTGTTTTTAGCAATCCCGCCTGTTTGCATTTCTCGCTCAAATGGACACAGATACAATCAAGAAACGGCGCGGGTCTGCCTTAATCAACAAACGATCCTCTCGAAAGCCCTTTAACAACCGTGCACATGAGCTCAGATCACATTGCAGTGACTGAGCCCGGGTGTGTCTGAGCTTGCCGCAAAGGGTGTAGAGTTTGGCCCCAATATTTTGTTTTACTTCTAAGACCAACTGTCGAAATGGTCGCCTCTTCTCGCCAGTTTCCTGTTGGAGTTGAAACATCCTCGGTTTGCACTGTATCCAAGAGGCTCATGCGACCCTGTCTCGCCGTTCAGACGGAGTTTGACAGGAAACCTTTGACGGCGTGCGTGCCGGCGCGCAGATCCTGGCGGCTTGCTTGCTTGTTTGAGGTTCTTGGTTTCGGCGCCCTAAAAGGAGTGGGTTTGCCTTTGGATCTCGGAAGGGAGATGTTGGAACCTCCCGCTTCAAGTAAAGAATTCGCCATTGAGGACAAAGCAAAGTTCCCTTTTTTGCGCAAAGCTCTCTCAAAAATGGCCAACGACAGCCCCCGACTTCAGGGGATGGTCCCAACGCAAGCCCTTTGCGTTCTTTGCGATCGTCGCCGTGCCTTGTGTTTTTTGTAGTCCACAGTTCGGGGGTTTAACGCGCTGTTTTGCGGGTTGGGCGCTTCAAAATTGACGCAATATTTGTAGAATATCTGAAGCCCGTGGCAATTCTGGGGCCATCTTGTTCTAGGTCAGGGTTGTTATAATTTCCCTGGGGCACCTTTCATTTTCCCATTCCATGTTTTTCCCAGGCGAACATCTGGGACACACGTTCTCCACAGACAACTTTTGTCGCATTCTTCCTACCAAGAGATTGGCCGATTAGCCATCTCATGAAGCCCTGCATGTTTGAGTCGCAGGCAACAGTTTTGTCAGGAAAATGACGAACCTCGCCAGTAAGGGTGTTGACGTACTGCTTGTTTTTGGTGGCAGCGCCTCCTGGCGGCCGTGCGTTTTTGCACACGGGGCAATCGGAAGGACTTGCACACAGGTCATCGGCAAGTTTTGCATAGGGTGGGGGGGGTGATGAGAATCTTGCGCATTGCATTTTCTTTATTTGGAGAACATCAGGCACGCAGCCACACTTGTAGGCTCATGAGGTCGTTAGGGCCGAATGAGATCTTATCCGTGCGCTGCATCATTCTTCTCAGGTTGTGTGGATTCTGGATTATATTTGGGTCACATTTTTGACATTGGCATTGCAGGGCCTGGCTGCTGAATCTTATTCAGTGGAAGCGTTCACCCTCAATACAAAGCGGGAACTGAACAAGTGGACCGAATATGGTTTCATGTCAAGACAGCTGTTCCCAAGAGCGTGAAGACACGCGACAGCGCAGTCTACGCTAACACGCCTGCGATCATGCAATATGATGGCAATATGTGTTTGCATGGCTGCGCAGACGTAAGCAAACCGCACAATTGTACAAGTCCCTGGGTGTTGCACACTTTTGAGGTGTTCAAAACAACATGACCAAACATTTCCTTGCAAAAACGCTGTGTTTTTCGCAGTGCTGCATCATGAAGCCGTGTTGAAGCCCTGGGTTGCCTCCATCAAGGCGCCGGCGCCTTGTTTTTGCCTACGCCCCGGAAACCGGCGGCGTTTTCATGTTTTTTAGTTTGCCCGCCAAGTGAATGGAATTCCATCTCTAGATGGCTCTTGATGAAACCTGGTCAACTCCATAGAATTGGTGAACTTGCAGCTGGGATGTTTAAGCAGGCGGACTTTTCACCGACCACAAAACGTGGGTTTTGGCACTTGGACGCCTGCATCTGTGTCACATGCCTGGCGCACGGTAAGCGCCCGACACTGGCCGTCGTAAGCCCTGCCCACGCTCTCCGTGGCACGCCTGAGCACGCACACCCGCCCACGCTCTCCGTCGTACGCATGCCTGGCACATGGTAAGCGCACCCGCCCGCGCTGCCTGAGCACACGCCTTGCACATGGAAAGCACACCCGTCTACACTCTGCGTCGTACGCCTGCGTACATGCCTGGCGCATTGCAAGCGCACCCGCCCGCGCTCTCCGTCGTATGCCTGAGTACATTTAGCGCACCCGCCCGCACTCTCCGTTGTAAGCCTGAGCACATGCCTGACACATGGGTAAGCGCACCCGCCCACTCTCTCTGTCGCACGCCTGATTGCATGCCCGGAATATGTCGACGGCCTTTTTTCTCGGCTATGGCTGTTTGCGTGTTTTTAGTGCCACCTGCGCAGGACCACCGTAGCTTGAGCGTGTCAGGTCAAGCGCTAGCAGCAGTCATGGCGCCCGGAGAGGGCCGCAGGACAACTGATACTGGTTTGCTTGTTTCGCTGCAGCAAGATGCACATGTTTCTTCTAAAACCAGGGAGCGTTCGTGACGCAAGTTATGCTCTTCTTCTTGATTTCTCTTGTTTCGCCTCAGCGAAACACACGTTTTGGTGAATCACACTGGAGCATCGCACACGTCTTGAGTGGCAAGTGCAAAAACGCAAGCGCCGCGGGCGCTTTTGGCTGCGCCACGAGCGCGGTGACGTCCAGCTTTTCCGCGCCGTTTATTGGTCCGGCGGGTTGTTTTTGTAGGGTCGGTTTTTGACATCAGTGTTGTTGTCCTCTAATAGATGGGGTCGACCTCTGGGTCGACCTCCATGCCAAAAGGAGAGTTGAACGGGACTTGTCAGTTTCCTCAAAAGCGACAACCCTGGACAGCACACCGGAAGTAACCTTTCAAAGGTTGAAACTCACAGTGCTGAGGAGTGGGTGCGAGGAAAGAGTGACCAGGCTGGGTTCGATCAAGCGCTTGCCCGCGTTGAGCCCTTGGTCCGTGAAACTGAAGGAGCACATGTGTGTATGACAACCAGATCTTCCGAATGGTCGGCGGGCGCGTTGAGTCGGTGCTGTGCATTTGTTCCTAGAGCCATGCAAGTAGCTATCCAGCACGCTTTTTCCACTTTCTAGAGCATTGCTCTCAATGTGATATAAACATATGCATGCATAACTAATATATGTATATATATAGTACCCCCTGGAATACTCAGGTTTTTGCAAGAAATTGACATTTTGGCTGCAAAAACGCATGTAAAACACACGTTCCAGCTTCTAAAACGAGGCTTTAACAAATTCTAGCATCGGTACTTAGTCCAATCCAGGATGTGCTAGCACGTGCTAGCGCATCCTGGCTTGACGATTGAAGGTTGAAGATTTCTGCAAATCTTCAAATCTGCACCTGCAACCCAGGGTGCGCATGTGCTAGCACGCTCTAGCACATCCTGGATTGAAGATTGAAGATTGAGGAACCCCAAACAACAAACTTTTCACAGAATCTTCAATCTTCAATCCAGGATGTGCTAGCACGTGCTAGTCCTAAGGAGTGGTCTGAAAATCTTCAATTTTCAGTCTTCAATCCAGGATGTGCTAGCACGTGCTAGCACATCCTGGGTTGCCCTAAGTGCATATTTGAAGAATTCCTGAAAGAGTTGTCAGAGAATCTTCAATTTTCAATCCAGATCCTGGGTTGCCCTAAGTGCGGATTTGAAGAATCCAAAAGGCAGACGGGGAGCGCACGTTGGCAGAACCAAATTGTGGATGTGCACTTGCGCTGCCTGCGTTTTGCCAGGGGGAAAATGTTGCTGACACCGTTACAGGTTTTTGTTCACTTGAGGGCTGGCCAGGGTGGAAGGTTCTCAGATACAAAATCACAAAAATCAGGTAGATCTTCAACGCAGGGAGCAAATCCTTAATGACTCTAGAACAAACTGTCAAGCTTTTGGGGGGCCAGGGTTGAGGATGTTCCAAAAATATGTTTGTGGAATCCTGTATACTCGATCTTCGACCCAGGGCAAAACGGTCTGATCAAATACTGAGAACACTGCATTTTACAGCATTTCTGCTAAGAATAAGATCGTCAAGGCACCTTTCTGTCATTGGCTTGGCTCAGTTCTTGCTTGGTTCACTCCACATGGAGTCCGGTAAGGGCAATAACCTTTCAAAATTGAATGTGGTTTCAAGTTCATTTGGCCATGACAGTCGCTATCTTCTCCAGTAAGTTTTTGAAACGCACAAGAAACTGCAAACGTTTAAAAATTAATTTGGTTTGAACTCGAAGCGTTTTAAACTGGATATCCTTCCTTTACTTGAACTTCAATAGTTGCTATTGGCGATGATTGAATCAACTTAGGCAAGCGACACGCAACTGAGATAGTTGAATGCAAATATGTCTCAAATAGACTGAACTAGCATTTGCATGGAATTATGCACAGCACTTGAGTTAACACGCAAATGCAACTGCGCAAGGATATGAAGTAGGAATGAGTTCCTTCTTCGCAAGTTGATGATTTGCTGAGTTTCGCTGCCAAACATTTGTTTTTTTTTAAAAAAAAATCAATGGAGTTTCTACATGCGTGTTGAAGCTGCCAAAGCACACGTCGCTGAAAAGTTGTGCTTTTTGAGCTGGAGCTGGCAAAGTGCGCTTAGCATACTCCAATGTGACTTTAAGCGCACTTCGCGCACGCCAATCACACAACTCCTATTCAACGTTGTCCAGCCAGCTCATTTCAGAGTCTCAAGACATTTGTCGCCCGCCAAAAACCTGAGTATCTTAACCGGGGGGTAGCGCATAACAGTTCAAGTAAGCAAATCCTTTCCAACTAGGAGCTAAATGAAAATGTAAATATTGTTCCGGGCAAACTCCAGGTAGATTTAACACAAGAAGTTAGACAGGAGTTTATTCCCAAATGTATTCTGAGTGTTAAATATAATCTGGTACGAACGCAATTCAACTAGGTTTTGGTATTAACTAGTAAATAGAGACTACTTCTCAGAATAGAACTCCTGTTAAATATGACTAAAACCAAATGCGGTTTGTGTTATTTACACCCTGGCCCTTTTGTAGCATAAGAAAGGTCCGGCATTGAACTTGTTGGACGGTGTTCCAAAAGAAAATTTCACGGGAAGAGAGGTTCAAGTTCTAAGACGATCCCGAAAAAGGGCTTCTAGCTAAGGCAGTTGCGTTTAAAGTTCTACTTGCGCAGGAAACAAAGTTCATTCTATCTCAAAAGGTGGAGGTAGTAGATGAGCAAATGCGGACAGGTATTTCCAGCGGGGGGGTTACGGTGTGTACACACATATATATATACACAGACATACACATATATATATATAGTACTCCTAATGATCCTGCGCCTCTTCATAAATGCTGGAAAGTACAGTGTTTTTGAGCATCACACCCACCTTTGTTTACCGCCTCGAAAAGGGTCAAGCCCGCCAAAAGCAATTGAAGGTTTGTCTAACTAATAACTTGAAAGTGTGTCCACTGGATCGCTAAGCACTTGAAAGTGTTTTACCACCGGATGGAAGACTCAAGGTTGAAGATTGCACCGAAAATTCCCTGAGAATTGTCAATCCTGGGCCAAACCCAAACAACATTCAAGTTCTTGTAACACTTGACAGTGCTTCACCACTGGAGTGAGGATTCAATTTTGAGGAGTGCACAAACAACAACTTTCCTGAGAATCATCCATACCGAAAGTATGGGGCCAACCCCGTTTTTGCTAAACAAATGCTGGGGTTCAAGATTCAATGTTCCCAGAAAATACTTTCTCAGACTCTTGAATCTTGATTCCAGCAATGTTTGAATTTTTTGAACATTCTGGGATTCAAGATTCCCAGAACATATTTTCTCGGATTCTTGAGTCTTAACTCTTGAATCCAGAAATTTTTCAAAACTTTCAATCATTTCTGAGTTGTTCTTGTACTCTTAGATGCGTTCAAACTCTTTCAGATCGCGGATGCTGATGTCATTGCTTTTATCACGTCTGTATGCATGCATGCGTATCATATTTACATACGACACCCCCGAATTTTGACACAAAATCCAAGAAGCAAAAAAGGCATAACACACTGGAAAATATAAGTCAAGCGCACCAAGCCAGGGTCCAAGGGGGGGTGCCATATATATGTATATGGTATCCCCCCATGGACCGTGGTTTGGTGAGCTTGAGCTGTGTTTTTCCAGTATGTTATGCCTTGTTTGCCTCGTTGTTTTTTTTGGGGGGCTATATATGTATGTATATATGCACATACACACACACACATATGTAATGCCAGCAAAAACATCAGCATGTGCCATCTGTCAGAGTCTGCATCATTCTCAGAGTATTGGGACAACGTTTTTAATGTGTAATGGGGTTGAAGATTCAAGAATCTGAGAATTTTTTTGGGAACCTTGAATCTTGAGCTCCGTAATGTTTACATTTCTTTAAACTCTATGTGTTCAAGATGCACTCCAGGCTGGTGGGCTGCGCGCTCTCCCTCAGCGTCTTCTCGCTGTGGCAGTCGCCGCGCAGCGCCTCCACCGCCTGCGCGCTGCCCGCGAAGACCTGCCGCACCGGCACGATGTGGTCCAGCTCGCAGGTCCCGGCTGTCAGCCCGCAGCCGCACAGGGCGCGCCATCTGGAGTCATATGCGTTTATCCTGCAACCCTCCAAGTTCCCGCATTTTCTGGATTCAAAGTGAGAGGACAAGATTTTCAGGAAAGCGAAAGCTGTGTAATCTTCAATCTGAATCTTCCATCCAGTGGTAAAATACTTTCAAGTGCTTAGCGATCCAGTGGAAACACTTTCAAGCTCTTATTTAGACAAACTCTCAAGGGCTTTCGAATTCCCTGTAGAAGTTCCTCAAACATTTAGCCATAGTTAATACGACCCATATTAGAGCAGTAGTTTCTAATTAGTTGTTGTTACCAAAAGCTAATTGAATTGTGTTCATACTAGATTATATGATGTAACACTTAGATTTAAACTGGGAATGAACTCCTATCTAATTTCCTGTGTTACAAATTGGTTGGAGTTCACCCGAAATTATGTTGGCATTTTCATTCAGCTCCTAATTGAAAAGGATGTATGTATTCAAGCTATACTTGAACATAAACTGATATTCAAAATTCCAGTTCTAGTTGAAGTAAAGTTCGAATTGGGACAGGACTCCGGGCTTCAAATTATGAGGCTTTGGGGACCCGCAGTTGGACATTTCGAGAATTTAAATCTCTAGGTTCTAGATGTTCACCTAAAAGGCATTACAATCTGGGTCCATGCAAGGGGTGCATCTAGTCTTGGACAGAGAGCAACGTTCCAAGCAAAACTGGACCCACACAAGGAAATTTGGTACTTCTAGCACAAAAACGCGTTATTTGGCGCAGGAAAAGCTGTCTTTCTGTGCAATGTCTTTGCGCAAGTTCTCTGAGCAAGTTTCTCCAAGCACTTTCTCTGAGCAACGCAGACAATTCGGGTACCTTTTGCGCACAATAAGCATATGTTCTGGACTCAAGATTCAGCATGGCGCAGGAAAGTTTTCTCCAACATCTTGACTCCAGAAAAAGGTCATAGAGTCAGTTTAGGATTCCAAGCAAGATGTAGACATGCTGGACTCCCAGGAAGTTACAGAAACAGGACCAACAAAGGAAATGTCAACGTTGCTGCAGCAAGAAGGAAAACACAGTTTTCCAAGATTCAAGAATCACAATTGCCCAAGAAAGCATTGTCCATAAAGCGAAGGATATTCAACTTTCAGCAAGTTGAACATGTGGGAGCACAAGGTGCTGAGAGGCCCCTTTTTCCAGCTTTCTAGATGCAGAAGACAAGGGGCCCTTCAGCGTTGTACTGCAGAAAGCAAGGGGCGTCTCAGCATTTTTGTGCTTCCACGTGTTCAAAATTTTGAGAGGCCGTGTTTTCAGCTTTTCAGACGCATAAGGCAAGCATTGTCTGCTTCCACGTGCCAAAAACATGCAGTCGCTTGCTTTCAGCTTGCATATGCACGAGCCCAAAGTGCTAGAGGTCTTTTGTTTTCAGTTGTCCAGATGCTTCATGAAGGCAGAAATAGGCCCTCTGAGCATGACAAGCCGGTTGTTTCTTCTAATTAGTTTAACTGGCGTTCTGAGTTCTAAACAGGAGTGCCTGCGCAAGCAGGATTTGATTGTAGAAACCGAATGTGTTTCCAAGGCCAGTTTAATCTATTCTGAATTGGATGTTCAGCTGGATGTGCTTTCCAAGTAGGATTCTAACTAGATTCTAAAGAAATGTCAACAGGGAGAAGACAAGCTGCTCGCTCTCTCTCTCCTTCAAGTTTGCTTGCCCCCTAAAGGAGTGAACAACCGATAGAAATCCAAGACGATGCAATTTCAGTTCTTCTGTTTAGAAGTGTTGAATTGCAAGGGCTTAAGTTGAGAAGGACTAACAGTAACATGTTCATGTTGAATGAGATGTTTAGCAGGGGTTCCTTTCCAAGAAGGGTTTTCACTGGAACTTAGACAGAAGCCTATTGAGGAACAATACGCTGGTTGGCGCTTCCTCTAATGTGCCTCTCCCTTAGAGGGAGTGAAACCCCGGTAGAAACCCAAGGATAGCGCAATTTCAGCTTAATAAAAGGAATGAAAACGGATAACGTGCCAAGGCTATGCCGTTTCAGCATGCTGGTGTGCAAGTGTAAAATTGCAGGGATCTTTGTGAGAAATTAATTGGACCTCATATTGAATGCTTATCAAAACGGGAGTTCCTTTCAGGCCTTTCTCAAGGTTTTGACAACTATATGTCAAAGGCATCTAAAGGATCTGCCCTACATCTTTTTAGGTGGGTCCCAGGAAGGGGGTCAGCACACACACACATAATATATAGCACACCCCCTGGAACAACAAAGAGCTTTCAAAAAAGGGGGGGGGGCGTGAGCGCACACATATATATCTATATACACATATATACACACATATGTACACATACGTGTTTATACATGCATGTGCATCATGGTTTGTTCCAACTCAATTTCCTTATGGCCGAGCAACACCGAACAACATGTGCGAAATCTGACTTAGACCAACCACAGACAAGGTGGCGATGCTAGCCAACCTTCTCAGTTTGACTTGAGGATTGAACCTGAGTTTAAAACGCATCGCAGGTCAACTTCAGCAATGCGGACCAACAGCAATTGTACTGACTGTTGGGCGAAGGTTGGGCTAAAACTCAAGCTGACCTTCCTTTAAAACAAGGTCTATGTTGGCGCAAGCAACTTCACAATTGAGCTTCGGCCTTATTTTGAGGCACTGCTCAAGCATTCTTCCTTGACATTGAGCTTTCTTGTGCAACTAAACTACTGGGCCCGCTCAGCAAAAGTCAGCATTTTCCTACCCAATGTCAGTTTCAGAACCACGGCGTGTTGAAGTCTCGTGTCTCAACAAAAGGGTCCGGTAGCGCAGAGCTCATGTACCAGTACATCCATCGGGTGGAGTCTCGTTGTCTCTTCGACTGCCTCACGTCGAGGGACCTTCAACAGTCGGCAACGATCCCCTCGCTTTCTATACAATTGCTCCCTGGTATCATTTTTCGGTCAATGGGTTTGGCTCAAATGCGTGTGGCAGGTAATACCCCTTTGCATCTTGAATTCTGCAAGCAGGCAGCGCTTTCTGGGAATGATGGCCGCTCTTGTGCGGGAAATCGGGTGCAATCAAGAAAGTGAATCAACCCACCTTCAAAGGTGCAAAAATACCTTTTGAGTGGCCCATGATCAACGTGATTAGCAGTCAATTGTCTTCTTGGAGGCCCGCCTGATGTCCGTGGGTGAGTCCCGAACTCGGGGCAACTGATCTTGGAGAAAAGATACCCGCTATGGTAGCAGCCTCAGGATGTGATATCTGATAGCTTTTGGAGAATTGGACGCTCCGTGCCGTGCAATGTTTGCTGGAAGCGAGCGCAGCAAGCCTTGTCTCGTAACGGCGTGACTACTATGCTTCTCGCAAGAAGGCTCTTGAAACCAATGTGTGCTTGCCATTGTCTTGCAGAAAGGTGAGTCGCTTGGAAAATCGAGCAAAACAGGCGCATTTTTTGACCTTGCGCGTCTGGTGAGGGTCTCCAGGTTGTTGCCGTAGCTATTTCACATGTGCCGTAGCCATTGAAAACTATTTTTCGACCGATTCCCGACCGGGCTAGCCATTGAGGAAAATATTTCAGTCGATTCTGAACATGACCAAAAAGGGCACTTTCTTTTGTTATTGGGTTTGTCTTTGCACACAAACTGATTGCTGTGCTCTCACAAATCTAAACGGCAAGCAAATGTCGCCCTCGCAAAGAGTCCATGGTCCCGGTCCGCACACAGGCTGCTACTTGTCGTACATGTTTGCAGTCTTGTTGGCGTCTCCAGTGAAAACAGCACACCGATACTGGAGGACTCGTGTTCTCACGCAACGCTTGCGTCCTTCCGCCGGGCCAATGTGGAACACCCCAAAAGTTGCACATGGCAGACCGAATCTGTGGACATGGTTGTCGGCCTGATATTTTCCATCGTCGTTGTTTGCGCTGTAGTTTGTGCTCATGGTTCTTGGCGGCTGCCCGCCAGAAAATCAGGTGTTGGCTTCCAAAAGGAGGGTTTGAAGATGCTGAATGTCTCGTGGACGCATGTCGTACGCGTGATGACGGGTTGCCTGTGACAAACCGTGCGCCGTGGGTCTTGCGCCCCACAGGTTCAAGACTACGCTCCGTAGCCTGCGCTGATCTCTGCTGTCTGATGACTGGTCCACCCCAGTTTGGGGTCCTTTGCCACGTTTTCCAGGTTTGCCGCGGGCACGTCAAGCATGATTGTAGACGTAAGCCGTTTTCTTGGTCAGATGCTCAACACTGGCTTGTCGGTAGGTTGGAGGAGTGATATCTTCTTGGTGCCGGTGCGGCTCGTGACGTGCTTGGTCTGACCGGGTATCCTGGTTCGGGCTGTCGCTTGCGTAACTCTGCCAATGTCTGCCAATGTCGTTCTTGGTATAGTTCACCTTCAAAGTCGATCTCACGGGCGCTGAGCACATCTCTCAGAGGTCTCTTGTTGGTCTCATTCTGATCTTATAGTTCTCCTCGCGCTTTATTTTGTCCTGGTGACCGATTTGGTTGTTGATGTTAGTGAGGCATACCCCTTCCACCCAGCCAGAGGAACAGCCATCATGAACAGCAGACTGAGGAGGATCCTGGGGTCTGAGCCAAAGTCACGGAGCTCGTGTTGCATTCAAGAACGGAGCTGAAATGAGCCGGCCATGTCCTTCATGGCCCACACAACCAATGACAAAGAGCTGCGCAGCCTTCTGGACGGCGACGGCCTGAAGCCTGGAAAGGAACTCCATCAAGAAAGGACGACGGCGTGATGCGTCGACGGTTTTGTTGTAGAAGTATTTCTGTGCGAAAGTCGCTGCGAACAAGTGGCCCCCTGCTCATGAAGATGCACCTTCGCAGGGATATGTGTAGTTTTTCGCCCACCTCCGCAACATGAGATTGAGCCCCCCGCGCACCTGAGGTATACCTCCACTTCTTTGTGATGGCTGCGCTCATGTCCTGGGTTGTCTTGATGGCATTTCGCTGATCCATCTTGGCGGCGCCACCTGTCCGTCGTTCTAATCTCCGTCAACCTTCGGGAAGATGATGGCCAGTCGCTCGATTTGCCAGAGATCAACAGGTACGATTCTCGTTGGGAGGATCGATGTTGCTTGCAGATGTCCTTTCGCTCAACATAGTACTGAAGAATGGTCTGGGTTGATCAGTCTCAGGCACGAGAGAACTCGTGTGCCTGCCTGACGATGATGCTTTGGGCCTTACTTGTCACCCGTCTCCGCAACGTGGCCTTGCGTCCCCAAAAGGATCACCCATTGACTCTGATCATCGATCTCCTTCTTCGGCGGTGGCTTCTCTGGAGTGACAGCGGATGAGAAGAGGCCATACTATCTCCCAGTCAGGTTCAGCGATTCTGGGCACCAGCGTGCCGCGGAGCGACGCGCAACTTCATAGCGCAGCAAAGGTCATATAAGGAGTTCACTCAGCCACTGCTCCATGTGTTGCTTCATCAAAGATGATCCGCCGGTGTCTTTTCGATGGTTTGTGACAATCGTCAGCTTGACATGAGAATCATCAGGTCGCAGTGTCAGATCCCTGTGCGATCAGTTTTGGAGCAAGGCCACTCCTGTGTTTGATTTGCCTTTCTACTGAGCTCCTTTTTCATCAGTCTCCATGTCATCACGTGTGTCTCCACAAATCCCAATCAGGCGATGGTGGTCGTAGTTCAGGAGGGTGGTCGTGTTCTCTCTGATTCATGTGTGACGCACGCTGACCGCCCTTGCAGCCACCCAGAATAACCAAATGTTTTTGACCGAAGTCCACTTGTCTTGCTTCGTGGTGGTGCTTGTTTTGCTGCTTGTTTTGCTGCTTGGCAAGCTTCACATTCTGCACGAACCTTCCCGAAAAGGTCGTGGACTAGTAGTTTTGGCAAACGAAGTGACCGAGCTCGAAGTCAGGAATTGGTCAGCGCTCATATGATGATGCTGGAGGTGAAGCTTCTTCAACTCGAATCGCTTATGGATTCTGCCTAGGGCAAGAGGAAATGTTGTTGGCTCATCAGTTGGTGCTGCGGTGGGATCTGGCTCAGTGGTTGACCGGCCTGTCTTGTTGATTCTCCTGCATGCTGCTCATCCTGATGAACCTTATTCTTCATCTGTCAGCGAGTTGTCTGCGAGCGAGCATGAAGATGTTCCTTCCCTTCGACAGGTTGACCATTGGTTTGTTGTCCTGGGAGGAAAGTCTCGAGTTATCTTCAAGGATATCTGGGTCTCCACCTTTTAACTGCATGAGTCACGCAAGCAAGTCGCACCTTCATGGCTGATCTTATCTGGATCTATTGGGCGTTCCTTTGTTTGTGTTGATGTGAACAATGCCTTCCTGGGCGTAAGGTGAACACGAGTGAGTTGCGTGTTTGTCTTATCGAGCCTGGAACGGGTTGTCAGCGCACCCCCAAGCTTCGCATGTGATCTTGTCACACTGAGGAGCGGCCAACGGTCACGCGCAAGTTTCTCATTTGTCCATACTAGAGGCGTATCAGCGCAGCGCCTTGCTTGGATTCAAACCCTTATTACTGGGCTTTTTTTGGCCTTTTTGTCTTTTCCGCCTTTTCCTTTTCTGTCATTGTATGGTGGATAACCCTTGTTCTGATACTTGAACTTTCCATGTATTCCTTTCTTTCCTCGGCCTGTTGCCCAGGCGGGCCTGCCGTCTGCGTTGCCACCCCATCGGCGACTGCCCTTTCCCACCTGTGCTTTTAGCTTTTGGTTTTCCTTTTCTTCTAATCAGTTTTTGCCTTGACACCTTTCTGGCTGCGAACGCGTCATGATCTTCGAGGACCCAGAGACATCCGTGTTCTCTTTGTTCAGAATGTAGAAGTTGTCGAGGAGCTTGGCGGTGGGGAGTTGGCAGTCGCGGTGCTTCAGCGTCAAAGTGATGGATCTTGGATTGGTACCCTTGTTGCTATTTCGGCGTCTCACACGTGTAGTTCTCAGCTGGATGTTCCTCAAGGACGTTGCCCTGACAATCTTTCTCTCTGTTGGTCTCTCAACTCACTCTGGGTGATGAACATCTCTGCGGCAGGTGGCTGCGGCTGTGCTGCTCTTCGGTTGTTTGCTTCTTGCGCTATCGGGATTGTAATCAGGTGACTGTGCCGTTATGACGGGCATCAGACCGTTCCACGCTGATTTCAATCTTCGCAGTAAGATCTTCGCTCTGGATATAAAATGAGAAACACAGTGTTGTGCCTCCTGTGGTTGAAGAAGCTGATGAGGAGTTGGTAAAGATAACGTTGATTGCGGTAGCAGTCTCGGTGGCCCTGGATCTGGATAAGAACCTGATACGTGATGGATTGCGGAGAACTGGAAGTCCGCTTATGTCAATGTATACTGGAAGCGAGCTCAGCAAGCCTCTTCCCGTGGTAGCGTGAATACTATGATTCTCACAAGAAGGGCCTTGAACCCAAATGTGGCAATGAATATATACTTGTCATGGGCTGCAGAAAGTTCAGCTGCTTGGAAAGCCAAAAAGGGGGGACGCCCAATTTCTCTACATCCTCTCAGGGAACAAAGAGTGTTTGTGGCTCAGTTGTTTCTTCAAGGTTTGGAGCCTCACTGCCAGGAGAAGCGGGAAGCATCGCGGCTCGTCAAGCTGTGTGAGTTTCCTGCGCGCTGTTTACGCTCATGGATTCCTATGTGTGCTATGACTTGCGCATTTATAAGAGCTTTTTTGGTAGGGAGAGCATCGCCAGGCCCGACGATTTTTGACCGTTCCAGAGCTGTCCAGGTGTCCGCTGCCTGCGTTCACACAAAAGTTGCTCAGGGAATCGTGCGACTTGGGCACGGATAAGATATGCTGGCCCGCGTGGGTTTTTCACTGACACACAAAACACACACACACACACACACACACACACACACACACACACACACACACACACACACACACACACACACACACACACACACACACACACACACACACACACACACACACACACACACACACACACACACACACACACACACACACACACACACACACACACACACACACACACACACACACACACACACACACACACACACACACACACACACACACACACACACACACACACACACACACACACACACACACACACACACACACACACACACACACACACACACACACCACACACACACACACGCACCACAACACAAACACACACACACACACACACACACACACACACACACACACACACACACACACACACACACACACACACACACACACACACACACACACACACACACACACACACACACACACACACACACACACACACACACACACACACACACACACACACACACACACACACACACACACACCCACACACACACACACACACACACACACACACACACACACACACACACACACACACACACACACACACACACACACACACACACACACACACTCTCA